AGGACGAGCGAGGCAGTCTATGTGCCTTACTACACAACGGAAGGCATCCATACTTCCTCCTGCAGGTACTTGCTGTCAGCTATCATTTTTCATATCGGAGCGACCAAACTGCAAGGACACTACCGGTCAGCTTTTAAGAGACGTGGTAGGCTGCAGTTCATCNNCTAACTCAGCTGCTTCTGCTTACTTACTTTATTATTCATTCTTACCTTATGGTTTCCTTCATACTGCAGCCTGTTGCACCATGTAGCTTGTCTCAGAATAACTGAGGCCGGGCGATCTTCATATGAAGTGGCCCTCATTTCTTCTATTTTAATCAGCGATAAGTGCAACCTGCTCCCCTGTAGCTTCTTTCTTCCCGCTGCTTATGGGGCAATTTTGCCGGGCGGGAGTCTTTTCACCAGAGCTGTTTCCTTCTTGTTTTTGGTAAGGACTATCAGGGGAGCATGCAGGTTCCTGGGTGCCTTCTGGCATGCGTCCACAGAGACGCCGGCTTGGACCGCCAATAGCATCGCGAGACCCTCTTGCGGCGAGCGTGAGTGAGTATGTATGTATGTATGTATGTATGTAATTATGCATGTAGGTATGTTGGTACGTAGGTATGTATGTAGCTACGTATGTAGGCATGCATTCATGTATGCACGTATGCACTTAGGACTGTGTTTCTGCATATCTGTATGAATGTCTGTTTGTAAGCTACCATGCATGAGTCGATTTGCCCGCGCGAATGTTTTTGTGCATACCGACGCTATAGCCGGCTTGAGTCGTAACAAAGAGGCCAGAGTTGTTTTGATTCATGCATCCAAGCATGCATTTGTGCCTACATGCTGAATGCATCAGTTTGGTTCCGCATCTCAGAACTTATCCATGAACCATCCTATTTATCTGCCAGCCATGCGTTTATCTTCTTCGGTAGCACATACGCAAATACCGGCAAACACAACTCTGAGGATAACAAGGCTGAACATGTGGGCGAGACCTGCTTGTTGTTGTTCTGCAGGACAATAAAACGGTATAACTCCAGTCGAAGGACTGACGAGTTGATAATTAGAGGCGCACGATATCCGGAACGTGACTTGTAACATGACTGTCAAACAACAACATCATGCAAGCTGTTTGACCACCGGCTACGGACTCAACCATCCAATTACGTGTTTGCAGTTACGTTTACCTGTACGGAGCTTCGTTGGCAATTCGTGAAATTAGAAGCCTCTGCCCCCTGCAGCATGCACGTCAACAACGCACACAACCTGACAAGTTCAAGGTGCAAGGTTTGTCGCATGTACAGCAGAATAACACAAACTGATACTTGCAAATTCCTGCATGGACGGTGTTTTAGGCCCACTCACTGTATGTGGCCATTGAAAGACGAGGCCCTTTGCCTTCCGCATCTGCTCTGGGCCATGGCCACGGTCGGTGCTGGAGCGAAGCGTCGATTCTTTCAACTGCCTTGTAAAGGTTACCGTTATGATCGTGGGTTGGCAGGCCTGGATGAAGTGTGCAAAAGAGAACATGAGATCAGGTGAATCAATCTGCAAAGCACCCGTCCTAAGGAGAGAAATTGGGCGCTGGTTGGAGCCGGGGTTGCCCTGATGGTCGGGACGGCCCGGTGCTTAGACGATGTCGAAAACAGTGAAGGGGCACTGGCAGAAGCTGTGCTATGCACAAGGTTTGCCGTCGGCAGTGCACATCAGGACCGGGTTTGACACATGTATTCATAACCCTTGTAGCTTTCCGGCTTTCCGTCGTCATTGTGCACATCTCTCGGGCATGGCAGGTGGCCCACCCACCGGAGAGCGACCTTGCTTTCCTGGCGCAGGGTGCGAGAGCTAGGACATTTGTTGGCAGTCACAGTGTGTCTTGGTCGGAGGTTCCCAGCCAGCACACTTGCTCTTGCCAAGGTCGTGGGAGCTTTGGGTTTGGGGCTGAGTCTTGACAGGTTAGACAGCGAGATTGGCCTTTGTTACACTGCTATCAACGCTCCGACAGCAGCTGGCACGGAGCACAAGGCCTTGCAAGCGTGGGGTGAGCGGTATTGCGGACTTCATTCTGAAGTGCAGCAGTCGATGCCTCAGCTGTGCTGGAACCTGTTGTGTTTGTTGAATGTGCAGCGGCACGAGGTTGAGCACCGTAACTTTCGCAGTCGTGCTCCTTCTTCAGGCCAGGAGCGCGCTGTTCTTTGACAAAGTTGCAATGTCTATTAAAGTTACGTATGAACATGTGCACCGTGAAGCACGTCCGTCAGTGCTCGCCCAAGCTGCAACAAGGCCCCTCATGGCCACATCGGACATCGGGATTTTAGTTTGTAGATAGCCAGGGCAGAAGTGCAATGCAATGCAAGAGGCGGAAGGGTAGAAGTCATTGGAGCTCGCGCTTCAAGCCTCTTGGATGGGCATAGCCATAGAAACGCTGCACTTTGAAACATAGAGTCGGATAGGTCTTTACTAAAAGTTGCTCCTGGCGGGTTCTCTCACGGCGTGCGTCCAGAAATCCTGAGCACAGCACATGTGACAGTGATCGTGTTGCAGCTCGCACGAGCCTCTTAGACATTGCCCGGGCCTCCCCAACAGTGGCAGCTTCGACACCCGGAGTGCCAAGCCATCCTACTACTGCGATTGAGAGATGCCTCGCTGGCATGCAGAAAACGGAGTTCGAGCTGCAGGTTAATGTGTTGCACGATGACAGACTCGGACTCATCGCCGTGCGCCACCAGTTACCTGCTTGTCCATGTTTAGTAAATGCTCTCGGCGACGGGCGGCGACGCACATTGACTGGAAGACTCAGTGAGGGCTACAGAGGGGCCGGAAAGCAGAGAATCGATGCTTGGGCAACCCGCTTTCTACCGCACGGAGGAGAAGGTGTTGTTGTTGTTGTTGGCCACCTCACGGAGGAGAAAAAGGTGTTATTGTTGTCGTGCTCTTCTGCAGTGCAAAGCTGTTGCAGGGCATCCTTCTGGCCACCCTGGGTCAATGGGCAGGCATGCTGGCTGGGAGCCTGCAGCTACAGCGCACCGTACTGCGCAGCCCATTTCGCACATCCGGTCCTCTCGTCCTTCCAAGGTCTGCATCGGAATGGTGCTCGTGACCTTCCTGCGGCCGGGGGCTCTTCGGCAATTCGCGGCTCTTAGTAGCGTCTGGTCTCCACTTCACTCCTAAGGCATCGGATGGCCTACCGCGAGCGGCCTTGGGGTTGGCTGATAGGACTGAAAGCGTAACATGATGCTTGTGTGCCTTAGGTGAAGTGGAAGTCTCTCACAGACGAAGAAAGCCTTTTGTGCTTCGTAGTGCACGGCTCAAGCGCGGAAGCTAGCGCAAGGGTATATAGCTGACAAGTTGGTTGAGGCACTGGACAAGCAGCCATCGTTGGCTGCGTTTTCAACAGGCCTTTGCTGAGGGGCGTTCTCCGACTTTGCTCTTCAAATACCCTTGCACATCTCGACCGCGCTTTCTTGCGGCTTCTTGGCGATGTCTGCGACAGTCACTTATCCGTGCATCTTGCGCAGCGTGACAGCGCCTGCATTGAAGCAAATGGAGCCAGCGTGCACGAAACCTGAGTTGGCACACCAGGCCAGCACAGGTCTCGAGGCAGCATCGCATGACGAAGCTGCCAAGGGGTGGCAGATCAACACCCCTTCGACGATTTGCCCGACACCTCGCACACCGGCATCCCCACAGCCTTTGGCATTGCCAGCCTCAGCCGTGGACATCCCAGCGTCAAGTTTGACTTCTGAGCATGTGCGGCCATTCTGGATGGAAATGGCAGAAGGCGATGAAGGTGTCGCTCCTTTTGATGAGCCCTTGACAGGGAGGCTTGGGCATGCGCCGTCATGTTCCTGAGCTAGCAGGGAGGATGTCCTGTCCTGGTGCATTCCATGACTTGCTCAACAAAAACTTTGCTGTCAGTACATGACCATTCCATCCACTCAGGTATTGACTCTGGGAAGGCTTTCAGTAGCCTTGGTCTTCCCGATTGGGTCTTCGACAGCTGCCCTCAACGAAGGGACGACTTCAGTCCATCTCCAAGGTCCAGTCGTCACTTGGCCTTGCAAATCTTCATTGCTTCAAAGTGCCCAAGCAGAAGCTGTTCTCAGCCTTGTGCTGGGGGGGTTTGACTGTGTCTTGTGGGTCAGGTGGCTCCTCCGTGTCCAGCTCGCCGAGTTCACCGGCACTGAGCTGCTTCGACACGCCTGCTCCGCCTTCGACGAGGCCGAGGTCGCCGCGACCCAAGGCTCAGGCGGCTCAGGCTCATCCTGGCCGCGTGTCCTGGGCTGATTTGGCAGAGGAGGCTCAAGGGCACAGGGAGGGAAACCCGGCAAGTGTTCGATGAATTGAACAGCATGCGATTGACTCCAGGAAGAGGAGGAGAGTCTGCGGCCAGCCCGGGCCCGGGTAAACTGGGCGGACTTGGAAGATGACACTGTAGAGGTGTCGTGGCAGTGGAGCTAAATGCCCAACGGCTTTCAGAAGCCTTTGGAGAGGCTTCGAGCCTTTGGGATGCAATAGGTCGTGAAGGATGAAGCGGGACATGCAGCGCAGGGCCGTAAGCTTTAATGTCACGGTCGAAAAAGAGATATGGACCAGTTCAGCTTACAGTCGCTTTCCAAATCCGCTGATTTCCACTGTCCCGCTTCGTCTAGGACGTCCCCACAAAATCTGAAGCAGCAAGCAACTGTGTAGCTAGTTTGACGACTGTTTGCGAGTTGAGTATGTCTCACCAGCACGCTTCCAGGGTGTAGCCGCAGCCTGAAGCAAATCTGATATCGATCACCGATTCACGAGCATGGATGTGTTTCATTTCCGTGGCCAGCTTGCTGAAGCCTGTGTGCAGTGCCAGTACAGGTTTTTGTTGTAGCTGGCCTGTTCTGGTATGCGACTGTGCTACTCGGACTCCCAGCGCAGTGATCCTTGTTCTTTCCAAACGTGGTTGCGTTGTGAACCGAGCACATGCAAGGAAGATGCTGGTTGCATATCAGAGCATTCACGGTGTTCGTGAAGAGGTTCATCATTTTAAGAGGCAGGTACACTCTGGGAAGCCCTGCATCCTGAAGGTACAGCATGGACGTTCAGTCAGCCCGTTGCTTCCCGGCTTCTGCCCGGTTGCTGACACAGGGTTGCGAGCGTGCAGCTATGAGTAGTGGGCTTGTTGCTTACCAGTCTATTGACTTCAATGTACAGAACTTGTGAGGTGATGTGAGATGTGAGTTTCTCCCGAGGGCTTTGCTTCCGGACCTGTTCTCGGCTGTTCGTGATTAGAACTCCAGTCTTATCGATAAGGTTCCGGAGCGGCGATCGGGCCTTCACTGGCTAGAGCCCGTTGTATGGGCCGAGGGTGTGTTGTGGCATTTCTGGCACGGCAGAGCTGTTGCACACTTCTTGAGTGCAGCTTTGCTGGGCAGTCTGTTGCACCAACGGCACCTGGCGAGAGGAGCCGGCTACAGCAATTCGCGAGTGCCTGTGACGACATGTGGGATTTCATGCTGAGTGCGCCGTTATGGGCCCGGTGGCCTGGGAAAGCACAACTACGCCGGACTAAGCCGTGAAATAGGCCTGCCGCAGTCTTTTAGTATCTTTCAACCATGACGCGGCGGCATTCAGCGCTTCAGTTGTCACTCGCCAGATTCCGACATCTCGATCCGCAGTTCGGTTTCTCCAGTCCTTTGCCGGGAGTGCTAAGAGTTACAACGTTGCCACACAGCGACAGAAGGACCTTGGAGTCAGGGGTGCTGTGCAGAAAACCCAGCTATCTCCTGCTCCTGGGCCAATCATTTTTGTACAGCCTCGTGTATAGAGCCCAAAGACCAGCCGGTGAAGGAGTGAGACGTGAGAGAGGGAGCGACCTTGAATTCATTGGCATGCCTGTTAGCCGCTGTGAGCCACCTGACGGCAGCTAGCGACCTTTGACGCATCTCGCGCAGGAGTGTTGCTGGGGTTTGCACACGGCGTCGTGGCAACAATACTGAATGCCGGGCTGGGAGCCTGCGCCGAAAAAGCCAAGACCTCCCGAAAGCCGAGTGTCGAAGGTTGGGCCGGCGATGGGGAGTCATGACGTTTATGTTCGCTCTCGCTCACCAGCCGTTGCCCCAATCCTTGAAGTTGAGGGCACTTTGGCATGTACACTCCAAGCAGGTGTTTTCAGTGCAGCTTGCATTGAATGCACAAGAGCAAGTCACAGCAAGTCCTTCTTCGGCTGCATTGTGCTTGAGGCTGGGCTTGAGCCGACACAATCCACGAGGTTGTGGCCCCAGATGCCGATTTATGGTGACAGAGCAGCAAGAAGCAAGTAGGCTTCAACTTGGCTCGCTTCACGGCTGTACTCCTAAACGGCGTGCTGGTGATCGTCGCCAGCGGCTTGGCAAGCCTGCTTCAACTCGTTGTGATGCCCTTGACTTCTCTCCGTGGCATTTGTTCATTGCGAGGTTGGTGTCGTCGTTCTGTCAATCGTCTTTCTTGCTACTTGCAGAGGGCCGCACTTGAACGGACTGCTTTCGGACTGGCCCCCGATGCCAGGCGACTCAAAACGCTGACAGCAACTGGTCTGCGTTTTGCACGGAAGGTGATGCCACCTGCAAGTACTACGAGGCGCACGAAATCGCAAAAGTCGAATCACTTATCGGTGTCGGGCCATCGAGCTGCCAGGTGCCACTCTATGCTTCCAACATGTCGCTGCCGCTGGAATGCGACCGACACTTCGGATATGGTAAAGACGGGCGTGCGACCTAGATTTGCTCACGAAAGGAAGTGTGCAGCTACGGGCACCGCAGACAGGAAACATTTGCTGAGTGTCAGCGACTTCGCCTTGTTCTCGGCCTTGGCCTACGAGTCTGAGGCCTCACTTCCGCATTTGAACACTTCAGCGGACCTGCAAGTTTGTGTCTACAGTGCGAGGATGGGCTGCGCAAAGGCCTGCAACGCTGCCATCCCAGTCGCAGCACTGTCCGTTCGATCCGCCTTCTCTTAACATACTTTACTATACAATAATACAGTGCATGTCACCCTCTCCTCTGAGGCTATTTTCCTGGGTGGTCCACGATAACCTCGCGCCGTGCAGGCTCTACCGACAAAGCATAGTGAGCATTCATCTGTCTGTGTCCGTCTTTTTTTTGTTGTGTTTTGGTAAGGTCTCAATGCAACAGCTCTGGAGGGAGAAACCTCTGACTGGACCGGGTGCAGTCCAGGGTGGCACGGATGCTGCAAATTCAATCTGCTTATGCAACACGACACGTCTTGGAATGCAGCCGTTTCTGATTCGAGCTGCATCCGCTCGTGGGCAGCTTGCAAGGCAAGGACAGCGGCAGATTCGAAGGCACTTTCTAGCATTGTTGGGTTGGTCCTTTGGCGTGGTTCGAGAGCATTCCCATGTGCTGACACCGCGAACCTGCGCGAACCTTCAGTCCAAGAGATTTACAATTTTCTTGCAATTTGCTTCTCACCGAGCCCACGCCTATGTCGGGGTGATTGCACTCGAACGTGCACAGCATCCTTCCGATACGGGACTCGCAGAACAGAGGCTGAACATCGATCGTGACTTTGTTCAAAAGACGCAAAATCGCGAAGGCTCTGGACGATTTTCCTGTTTGGCTGTCCACCCTCTTTCTCTGGTTTACGGGTTTCGGGGCGGACAAAACCGTGTGGAGCTTCAAAACTGCACGAAGACATTTGGAGCCCTGGAGCCTGAAGAGCCCTAGATACATCAAAGCTCTTCACAAGCCTTCGAACTGGGAGCTTCGCATCAAAGATCAAGGCATCATGTCATGCGCACTTGTGTCAGGTCATGGATGCCAGTCCCTGTGTCCACCCTGACAGTGCATGCGATGCATTCGATGCGCGAGAGCTCAGCGACATCCAGGGCCGCCACGGCAGCGACTGCCACGGCCACCGCCTCCCCGCGAACTCCTGTGCCTCTGAGTGGATTCAGGGCGTGATTCGAAGTGGGTATCCAAACTTAAATACCTTGATGGTCTTGTCTGCATCGCCACGAGTTGCTCGTTAAAGGTAGGAGCTTTATGCAGTTGATTTTGGCCCTCATGCCGTCTTGCTGAGAGGTTGGCACTGTCTTCTTCAAAGGAGTCCCGCAGCCAATCCCTTACAGCTGCACTCAAATGCAAGAGGCGAGGTTGGAGCAGCGGTTGGACGACAGACGTCCTGGCACATTGTGGGACAGAGCGAGCGGAAAGCATTGTGGACTTCTTGCGAGTGGCGCATGTGCAGAGGATCCCGATCCATGCGTTCCACTGTATCAGCGCAATGAGCTTGTGCTCCCAAGCCAGCTTCTGGCGCGACGCGCTCGAGATCTTCTGTCTCTTCTCGAAAGTTTCTAACCTTCATCCTTTGGCCGCGAACTCCCAGCTTGCCGCCCTTGCAGAGGGTAGTCTCTGGCAGCAAGCTTTGCTCACTCTGCAGGCCAGACCACGGCAAGGCGATCACGGCAATTAAGTTTAGGTTCAGCCAGTTTTCATCTACACAGATGAAACTTGAAACCCTTGCGTCAGTCAGGAGATGCAGGATGCACGCCTTCGGGCCACTACGGTCACTTTCAGTTCGGCTATCAACGCCTGTGCAAAAGCGGCAGCTTGGCAAAGAGCCCTGCATCTCGGCATGGACATGGCGAGACGGAACGTGTCGAGGCTCCCCAAAAAATCTGTGTTTGCTGTGTTCGTGTTTTCATTATTTTGAGCTTGGTTCTGCGGCGAGCTGGCAGGAATGCCATTGCCTACAATGCCATGATGACCAGCTGTGCAATGAGCTCCCAGCCTGAAGAAGGAGTCTGGAAGTGATCTGAGGACAGCTAGCAGCTACGATTGTGAGGTACACAGTGGGCAGAGGCATTGTCTCTATTTGCGGAGATGATTTCTGCCGGCATTGCGACGCTGAGATGGCTGTTCAGCGACAGTAGTTCAAGGATGTTCTGAGTGGTCTCAAGTTTAACACATGTCAAGCACACATCAACACCCTTGGTGGCCAAGGAGGACAAGCATCTCATACAATGCAGCTATTACGGCATGTGAAAGAGCGGCTGATTGGAAGGTGGCGGTCGCTTGTTCTTGCGCAGTCTCAGAAGTGCGGCTTGCATCGACGCGAATCCCGGGTGTCACTTTCTCAGGCTGCGCTTTACCTGTTCGGCCTTTGCCTGCGAAGTGGTGCAGCAGATGTGATCAGTTGCAGCGCAGCGATTAGTGCCTGCGAGAAGGCCGCTCAATGGCGCCAGGCAGGTCCTCGTCGGGTCTCGTGTGACTGTGGAAGCTTTTCTCGGCCAGGCAATTGGCCTGCTTGAGATCTGGCGGCTGCAGCGCCAGCGAGCATCGCATGCTGCCAACCTTCCTGACAACTTCAAGCTGAGACCAACAAAATTGTGCGCGAAAGCCGTTGCGGTGCCCATCCCATGGTTGCCCTGCCGGACATGTCTGCGGCTCGCAGGACCACCTACTTCGAGTTTTGGGATCCTGAGCCGGGGGCCTCCTTGCATGGGAATCGGCACATGTTTATAGTACCCAGGAACTCGACGATTGTTTTCGCCATTCGGGGAACCAACTCCATGCTCGATGTTCTGGTGGGGACCTACGACAAAAGAAAGACATATCTTTGCGGCAAGCGGGGATGTCTCTGTGCACAGGATGACTTGAACATTTGGGGTCCTGCTGCGATCATGCAAGCCTTCAGCTTGGCCGGCCGAGGCCTCGGAAGCCTCGGAAGCCTCGGAAGCCTCGGTCCGCTGCTGGTGACGCAGCCATTTGCACCTGCCGCTAAGATCATGTCTCGAATCTTGAGTAGAACACGCACAAGGAGAGCGGAGCACTTTTGACGAACAAAGGCTAAAGCCTATCAGGATGAAGCCTTGAGCATCCTTGGCGCAGTCGCCCATGTCCCAAGCTGCGGAAGTTCCCTGCATAGCTTTGGATTCGCTCCCCTCGGAAGGGCTCGCGGCTGTGCGGAGCCGAGCATACAGTAGCAATGTTCGCGCGCTGCAGAGACTGTTTGATGTCGGTAAACCTGTGTGTGCCTACCCCAGGTGCCTGAGAGTGTGTGCCACACCCTGGATGCGGCTTTTGGTCCGGATGGTCTTGGTCTTCTTTGTGTCACCGGTGATCAGGCGAGGAGAACCGACTTAAGTGCTGAGTGAATTTGCCCTTGAACTCGGAACTCTGAGCCTTGAAAAGCCGGGCTCACACCCCTTTGACCGAGGCCACTGGAGCATGCGAGCTTTAGGCAAACTTTCGAGAATTTTGAGCAACTCCTTTTGAGTGGTGCTTGCGGCAAAAATGGTCCCGACAAGCCGGGGCTTGAAGTTTGCTCCATTCCTGCATGAAAACATGCATTGTTCTTAAGTCTTACTAGCCGTGAGGAAGGATTCTGTCCCAACGGCAATACTCCGGGGTTTGCATCTCTGAGAAAGGCGTCTGTCACAATCCACGACTTTCAGGTTTTTGACCGCGAGCTGGAAATGACGGACATGAAGGACATGAGGGTGAAACGACGGAAATAGAGGTGAACACGACGGAAATGAAGGCGGAAATGACAGCGCAGATGCCGGACATGCATACATTATGGAGCCGAAGCAAATCCGAAGTAATCGAGACGATCACGGAAGTGAAAATGGAAATAAAGCATGCCCTGTCAGCCACAAGTCGAGGGCCATCGCATCGGATGGACTTACAGGTAGCAAGCGCAGCCAGCTGCAGGCGTTGATGCGAGGTACGGCATTTCCATGGCTTCAGTGACAACGGAAACAAGCGGGAAATAGTTACCGATATGAGCACGGAACAGAGCAACCAAGATGAAGCCGGAAATGGTGGGAATACAGCAGTCATGCAGCTAAGTAAGGCCGGAAAGAGCCGATGTGACGATATGAACACCGAGCTGAATACGGAAATGAATGGACATGCATCAGCTGTGCAGCCGGAAGTAGAGCGTACCCACAGGGAAAACAAGACGGACATGACGCCACGAACAGCGCATGCGTCAATTGCGCGGCCGAGACGTCGAGACGATGATTATAGCCAAGGGTGGAAGCTCCGCTGCAGCATGCCCCTGGAAGCACTATACACCCGTGCAAGAACCCAACAGCAAGCACGATGTCACATGTCTTTTGTTGACACATGCGTCGGCTGGTCACGACACCACAAAACACGTTCCGTCACCGGCTTCTCTCGGGTTATGTCTTTTTTCATTTTTGGACGGAAATGTCGGACGTTCATCAGTGTACGAGATAAAAATAGCGGACATCAAGCGGCTCATGAAACAATTCACTCATGCAAGAACCTAACGGCAAGCAGGAATTCTTCTGCTTCTGCACGCGTTGTCCGGCCACAACAACCACGAAGAACGAACTATTTTTGTCACCGACCTCATTTCCGTGTTCGTGTCGGTTATTTCTGGCTTCGCTTTTGGCTGCAAACTTGCTGCTGCATCATTTCCGGCTTCATCTCCACGTTCCGTACCTGTTTTGTGCAATTCCTTTTGGTCTGCAGAATTGATCAATTCGGCCATTTCGGGCTTCGTTTTTGGCGATGATTGATGCAGTTCCGGCATATCCTGCTTTATTTCAATGTTCGTATCGGTTGCTCTCCATAACTGCTGTATTTCCGCTTAGGTCTCAGTCAAATCCGGCTTCATTTTTTGGTTGTGGACTGGTTGCATTTTCGCCATATTCCGTTCTCTGTTCCGCGTTTGCATCGATTGTTTCAGGTTCATTTCCCCTGTTCGCTTTGCTTCTTTCCGGATGGTTTCGGCTGCAAAATGCATATGTACATTTCAGTCGTTTCCGGAGTTAGTTTTGTTTTCTTTTCCGTATTCGTGACGACAGAAGAAGATTTCCGCCCTCATTTCCGTGGGCTCCTGGCTGCAAAATTAACGCATTTCCGTCATGTTCGAGTTCATTTCTGTAGACTGGATGACTTTCCACCATTTCCCAATTTTCGTGTCCGCATCTGTTTCTGGCTTCATGCCCGCAGCAGAACTGATGCATTTTATCGGTTGCTGGATAATTGTTGTATGTCCGGCTGGAGGTCGGCTTTGTTGAACTCAATTTCGTGGAGTCCCAGCATGGTCTTCATGCCGCCGTATCTTCGATTGCCAATCCCCCACTTACATTTACTGTATCTGCACTACATTTTCGCTAGTTCACTCATATACCCCACTCAGTTGAGTTTTAGCACAACCGGGCTATCCACATAGCCTGCATGGTATTCAAAAACTGTATGCTTCAACACAACTAGCAAGTTTGTTGTGGAAATACCGTAGATGTACAGCTTATAAGCTCCAGTCAGCATTGCATAGCGAGGTTGCTAATCATGTCTATGGCACTTGCAGAAGTCTTTCATCTCTGCTACCCAAGTACTGAACAAAGGATCCTAGGAGTTGATGCATGCCGGAGAAACTGCATTTCAACAACACCTTTCCCACGCGTTTGCTGGACACATGCAGAGTTGACCGGTCGGTGTCAGAGCGAAGCTGGAGGACTTCCAGGCCAAAGTCCGTCAAATGCGAGACGAGCTGCTTCCGCTGGCCACACGCTTGGGCAGGCTGTCTGAGGAAGCAAAGGAGCCGCTGATCGGCAGACTGGTGTAGCATGTGATCAGCTTTGGAGCAGCATAGCCTGGCAGCTATGCCATGGGGGCATCTCCATGGCATTCGTCCTGGCTCCTTTCGTGATAATGATTTCCACGGCGATTTTTTCAGGATTCAATCCGCGAACGTGGGACGCTGAATGTGAACAACTACTCACGAGGCCTCTTCGAACTCAGTTTCGTTTCCATGATCTGGGTGTTGCGGCAATTGGCAGGCATTGATGGGAATCGAACCGGTTTCTACTTCCACCCCGCCTTGGACAATCCGGCAGATTGCCTGCCGCCAGATGTGCCCGCCGAGCCGACTTTCTACGCACGAAACCTCTGGCCCGACACGGACAGAAGCTGCGCCTGACTGTGCCAATTCCCTTTGCCCCCTGGGCATCCCTGGGCACCACTCGCAGGACCTGCCGGAGCTGCGGCACCAAGCACGCGCTGCGGCCCCGTGGCTGGTGTCGGTGGCCCGGCGCTTGGCGGCAGCTGTGGACGAGCGCTGCGCCAAGGCAGGGCATCACAGAGCGAGGCTTCAGGTCATCAGTGTGTCCCTTCGTTTGAACATGTCGCAGCCCCTGCGAAGCTTTGGCACTGCATCTAGCTGAGAATTGAACGTAACTTCGCTGCTTTTTGCCACTGCTTCAGGCAGTTGCAGGCTACCAGCCGGGTACTTTGACGCGCCTTATTGGCCCTGCGCAAAACTGCAACCATAAGTGTCGGCTGATATGCTATCATGATACTTAGCTTGAAACCGACGTTTGTGTCATAGTAGAAGTGGCCGGTGGGACTGATCGGACTGAGGACTTTGAGAATGCGGAACATGCGGCTTGCAAGGGCATGTGGGCGCCCCCGCACAAGGACTCTCCAAACTGCCATCATCTGCCATCTACCGTTTTCGGCTTTCCAGTGCATAGGCGTGGTTGCTCTCGGCGTAGTCGCGAGGACACGGGTCTTCTCACAGTCCTGGTGCCTGGCATCTTTCTAGATCAGTCTGGTGAGAGACTGCAGCAGTCTCCGGATCCAGAGGTTGGCTTATATGTGCGGGACAGGACCGGCTTTTCGCCAGGGGTGTGCCATTGAGAAAGCCCGGGCTCGACACACACAGACGGTGGACCCGACATCGCCAGAAACCCTGCCTGGGAGGAAGGGCCGCATCATGCAGATCTGCATGCCCGCGGGAATTGGTGAAGGTCTTTTCTTTCAAGTGGGCGAAGCACTGCAAGTGGTGTCTGGCGGGCATTACCATGCCACGGAGCATCTTCACTTGAACAGACTTCAACGCAGCAGGTGCCATGTTACATTCTTCATACCTCATACATAAGATCAGACACGAGATGAGACAAGGCACTGTGTCCGCGGGCCAGCGCAGGCCTGCAGAGGCTCGATGCTGGCGAGCTTGAATTAGCGCTTTTAGTCCCCCCTATGCCCCGCTTCTTTAGATCTGATCCGTGACGCTCCTTAAAGATGTGCCGCTCGATCTGATTTGGCGCTTTACCCTAAGCGGTGACAGGTCGCTTGAGTGCCGCATACTGGAATAGGGCGGCACCACGGCCGTGCAATTCGCAGTGCAACTTCTGCAAGTCAGAGTGTGTCCACTCTTCGGAGTCCAGCTAGAATAGTGTCTTAGGATGCTGCCCTGTGCAGACCAGCTTGCAAGGAATATCTGGCATTCTAGAGAGTTCCTAGCCCTAGCTTTCGTGGTTCCCTTGAATTTGCATGCCCTTTCCTGCCGAATGTAACTTGCACAGGTTATGAACGTGCCTCCTTGGCGATTTTTCTGCAACCACATGCGCATGAGGCCAGGCTGATCGGGACCGAAGATTGCATTGATGCAAAGCCAGACTTCTCAGGAATTGCCTATACCAGAAGGCAGCTCTATGCAGCAGGCCGCATCCGAACCGAATGTAGGCTGACGCACGGGACTAGAGTGACTAGAGGTGGGGACAGAGACTGCAAGGTAGGGTTTGAGCAGGTCACAAAGAACTCAAGGCTGCAGGGCGAATCCCCCTGATCATGTTAAAAGTTTTGCGCCAGTGCCGGCATGAGGTTGCAGATCGTGCATATGATGGACTCTTCAGGACGGGTCTTACAGCACTCTGTTTCCGTATTGCTGCAGCGTTTCCTGTTGGAGCAGCTCACAGGATGTTCTTGCTCTACCAGCCAAGTGGCGCGAAAGGAATCAATTTCCTACGTTTCTGTCAGCGTGAGGGCTTTTGAGTAAAACGTGCGAGACTGCAAAAGACTTCAATCCTTGTCTTAGTCGTTGCCAAGAGAGCGCCCCTGTGGCATCAGCTTCCGTTTCTCCGAGGTCCTTCTCTCTCCACGGCTGTGGCCGAGGTTCTATAGCACAGTACTGCAGCTGCATGGTAGCCTTGCAATTTTGTACAGTCCGTGGCGCTGCTGTCCACGGTGATATATGGCGAAAGCATGCAGAAGCAGTGGCGGACCTCAGTTTTTCCACCACGGAGATCGAGTGAGTTTAGGCGTCTCGCTGTTCGATTTGTCCTTCAATCAGCTACCCAGGTACTTCTCCGACTTGCTGGCACACGTTCGGAGTCGCAAGACTCAGCTGCCAGACAGGCCTAGAAAAAGCTGGCATGTGCTCTGATGCGCAGGGTTTGCAGTGGTGTGGGTCGCAGTGTTGTGAACACAGGAGGTTCTACATCACAGGCCACTCCTTGGGTGGAGGTTTAGCCAAGCTCGTGGCGGCCAAGACCCACATGCAGGCTGCATAATGGCGATGCGCAATCAGGCTGCCATTTTGCTCTCCATCTGGCACGCATCTGGGAGGCCGTGACCTTCATGGCTCCAGGTCTTGGCACCACAAGCTACGTAGTGTACAGGGAGCACATGCTAGAGGAGAGCACGCGGGAAGGTTTAGGACGCCAGACGGCCCGGAAGCCGCTTCCAGTCTCAGGAGCTTCGACATATCTCGCTGACAATCATGCCCGAGAACGACGTGGTGTCAAGGGCGCCGGCGCTGGAAGTGTAGAGTATCTTGCTGGCAGTCATGTTGCAAACCCTTGCAGGTGGACACACAGACCGGCATCACCGTCAAGACTGACTGCGATGGAAACCCACTGCATTGCCGTCAAGCCGAATTGTGAAACCAGAACACCAAGCCAAGCAGGCTCTGGAGACTCCTCAAACTGTTTGTGACGAAGGTCACCAGCTATATCCCACAATCTGCACTCTGCTGCAAACGTGTGGGTTCCGAGCTCAAGCACCAAAGCTCCGCTCAAGACGGTGGGGAAACGTGTTGAGGGTCTGCAGTGTTCAGGTCTGGCAGAGCTGGGGAGGCTGCTTTGGCGCTTCCCTGCGGTGCGCCAGTCTCCCGGAGTCTCCCGGGTCTCCCAGTCTCGAGTCTCCAAAAGAGACCTCGCGAGAAAAGAACACTCTTCCAGCTGAGGTGTGACAACATGCCATGTCCATCGGCACACCTTCGACCCCGCGAGGCCAGACACTCTCCATCGCAAATTGCCAGCGCAATTGCCATGCTTGAGTCGGCAAGCGTTCCGGGCTCGAGCTAAACCCAAGCTAAACTGCCTAGACTCGCCAAAGTGCTGGCACCTTACTCCGACCTCGCTCCAGAGCACCCCGCTCGAGCTTCGAGTGTCCCGTCGGATGCCTTTTGTTGTCTGTGGTCTGCATGCAGAGGATGTGCAACCTTTGGTCTTTCGCCTGGCCTTCCCTGTGAAGCACAATTTTCAACTGTCTAAGTTCCAAAAGCTTGGTGCTTGGGATGCTAAGATCGCCACTGTGGCTTCAGGAGTTCTTCTGTCCTGAGTTGCCATGTGAAGGCTGTCAGACTTCGCTGCCATGGTGTTCTTCCAAGAGCACATGCGCTTGGTTTGAGTCTCCATGCTGTCATTTAGCTGTTTCTCTCAGATGCATTGCTAAGTTGCAGCATATCCACCGCACATCTTCCTGCATGGATAGAGAACAGATTGCAAGTTTACCCTCGCTGAATTCAAATCTTTTATGGCAGCAGCACAATGCACTGTATGTTTCAGTTCCGAGCAAATAGAGACTTGTCAAGGCGAGGTATCTTCCCGCAACAGTATTTTCAGACACCTTTGAAGACGGAAACACTTGCAACACACATAGGTTACCAAATATGGAAAATCTGCCTGCTGCGATTCGACAGATGGTTGATGGAGCTCCATCATCAAAGCGACAGAAAACGGAGTCGGCTAGTGAAGAAGGCGCCTTTGGAACCTCTTTTGGGGCTGCAGGTTCCAGTTTTTCGGCAGGACCCATGGCGATATCTCAAGCGGATGCCATGGCAACGCTATTGGCCATGACGAACAGTGCTGCTGGGATGCCTGGCATGGCCATGGCCCCCGCCTTTCCCATGTCCCCCATGGCGCACGCGCAGGTGGCGGGTGTGGCTTCCTCTATGCCGTCCGCACCGGCCGCAGCTCCAAGACCTGTGCAGCGATCGGCGCGGGTCACAGCTGGGCCCGTGCCCGGCGTCATCGCCAAGCCGGCTGTGCGTGCAGCGGTCCCAGCAGACCCTCGAAGCCCCACAGAGATCAGAGAGGAGCTGTTCCGGCAAGGGATCGACGTGAAGGGCTTAACATCTACGCGAGAGATGCAGAACAAGCTACATGAGACGGAGGCGAATGTCAAGCGAGCAGAGGCTACTAAGCGGCTCGATCGGCACCCTGACCAGAAGCTCCTATCTTGCTTTACCGAAGGCCTGGCACCGGGGCAGGATGCGATGCTGAAGATGCTTGAAAGCGGCTCAGATCCCAACACGATGTCAGAAGGAAGTGGGAGTGGCTTCGCAGTCGGGATGACTCCTTTGCTTGCAGCTGCCAGTTGGGGAAAGGTGGACGAGGTGCGGTTGCTCATCGCCGCAGGAGCGGACCTCAGGGTCCGGACGCCCAACATGAGCCAGACGGCGATGCACCTCGTGGCTGGCGGCAACATCGAGTCCTGGGGTGTCGAGAAGACCATGGGTCTGCTTCGCCTTCTGGTCCACAAGGTGCTCACATGTCGACATGCCGTCCTGCACAGAGGGAAAGAGTGGCCAAGGGGCGAAAACCGTAGGGCCGTAGGCCTAAACTGCAGACACCGTCGAGAATCGGCATAACCGAGAAAATCCGCGTTGCTCAGCAGCTATCACTCAGCTCCTAGGATGGGAAGGGTTCTTGCCATAAGCAGTTGCAGACCTTCGGCACCTTGCAGGCTCCTGAACTACTTGCGGAGAAGAACGCCTTGGGCAAGACTCCGCTGGATTGTGCAAAATACGAGAAGAAGCGCCAGCAAGCTGCCTACCTGGCGAGCCTTCCGCGTTGATGCAGCAAAGCTTGCGTCAGTTGGAGCAGCCATTGCCGGACGTTCCTCCTTCAGATCGGAGCTCTTGACTGCAACGATCAATGAGGTAGCAAAAAAAATATTGGCAGTTGACTCCCAGCGTGAGTCGCGCTTCAGTCTTCTGAAAAACTAGGTAACCCCCATGTATGAAACTGTCCGGCAACGAAGTTTACTCCAGCTTGTTGTTGCCTGCGTGCCCTGCACGTGCAGAGTTCTGGGAAGTTTCGCTAGCAAGCCTGGTTGACCTTGCTGGACAGACTGAACTGTTGCAAAGGGGCTCACAGGGAGCGAGCTGTGGCGTCGGGTTCAGGGCTTAGGGGTTGGCCCAGCTCTCCAGCGGCATGCTTGGACAGTCCTGAGAATGAAGCTTGTCCTCGTCAACACAGAAGTTGGCTCTTGCATGAGAGGATTGTGAAGAAGATGTGGGTCGAAGAACTGTAGCCCTTCAGACCGGTCTTGCAATAAGGGCAAGCGCCCGCACCCGCTGCTCCGGGAGCGGTCAGAGGAAGGTTCCAACTTTCCAGCAAGTCTCTCAAAGAACCTCATAGCTAAGCAGAGGCCGCAAAAGATCAGGCAATACAGACTTAGGTCATGACCCCGACTCAGGTGGCATCTGGCCTCTAGCATGCATGTTGCTATCGCTGATCACGTGTGACAGTGTGCTCACGTGTGAGCTGTATAGGCTTCTTGACTTGACATCACGATGCTTGTGGTACATGTTCTAGAACAAGAAGGTTGCAATATGCACGTTCATGCACTTTCTAGTGAATCTGGGTCTAGACGCTGGGCACAAGAGAAGGAGAGGAGATGAGACGCCTAAGTGGACCACGTCGAAGAATCCCTACTCGCTTGAAACATTGGCGCCAGTTCCTGCATTCAGTCCAGAACTCGACCAAAAGCTGCGTTGCAAGCAGTCTTTTTGTGCGCGGAGCAAGGCGGAGTCGCAGAGGTGACGACGTCCGGAACTTGCGCGACATCTCGCGACATCTAACGCGACCTTCTGCCTGCTGCGTACCGTGCCACGGACATTGACAACGCCGGGTCTCGCGGCAATGTGGCATGCATTGAGCACGGTCAAGTGGCATGACCTGCAACTTGAATCAAGAACGAAAGATCTTTGTCAGCATATTCCATCCATCACAGTGAGCTTTCGCGCAGCGCAGTACACCCGGAATCATCGTAGTGTTTTGCATTTCGCGGGCATCGAATAAGAGGGAGCACAGCACTTCGGACTGTCGTTTGAGGACGAAGGTTGCAAGCAAGAGCTTTCGGGAAAAAGACGTGCTTAGTGAAACAGTGTTCAATGCAGCCTCGCATTTGTTCCACATTCCCACGGTCCTACGATGATGTCCGACGCCTTGTCAGGTGTCCTGAGAGCTGCCACAGGGAAACTCCTTGTTGCCGCTCCGAAAACCAAGCTCATGCATTGCCCATGCAGCCTCCTTGGTCTGGGTGGATTCTTTGCCCACGTGTCTTTGAGGGAACTGCATATGACACTATGTCTCTGTTTGCTCGTCCTTTTGGCCCGTGCAGCTTGGAAGCAGGAGCGACAGAATTTCATAAAAAGCCTTGTTTTGTTCACCGTCGGCTGGACATTGCATGTGCTCCACGACATCCAGACATCGAGCATCCGCAGCATTCGCACTCGTAGAATCGCCATCCACTTGTTTCCAGCAATGAAAGCTTCGCATGTTGCAGCTGGGGTCCCTTGCCTTGTGTTCGGCTTTTCTAGATCTTTCGTGTTGAGACCACTTTGCAACTGAGGCACATGGCTGATTTTGCTCCATATGTCATCCGATGACTGCAAGGACTGTTATGGACACACATGTCAGTGTGCACCCTTCGTACCCGGCCCTACGCTCACGATTTGCATTTTTATTGTTCTTTGTGGAGCTCCGGGTCTCTGCTTGTTGCAGTCGCTCCTTCGCCAGAATGCTCAGATGCCACCTCGAAGGATGTCTTGAAACTCGTGTCATCCAGGGCTTGATTGCATGGCCCAGAATGCAGATCACAAAGGCGAACACTGCATGTCGGAACTGGGACACGCAGGGACTGGCTCGGTTCTGCGATGTTCATGACCGCCAGTTTGCAGCACCTAGGATCCATTTGAGGGCGGGGCCCTTTCGCCGCGGAATCCTCTCCGAAGTCCCCAAAACATGGACCATTTTCGACAGTACTCCTTTGCCCTCACGCATTCTGTTTTCGAAGCGAACATCCCATGAACATGCTAGACCCTCGGGGGCAAGCAAGTCCAGAAAACAGTCGAACCCAGAGCCTACCTGAGCTCCCAACACGCACTCTGACGGGCATGCGGTACTCCAGACGCCAAGCCCTACACCCTAAACCCGAAATTGCACATGCTCGGACCCGAAACAAATAATGTGGACCTCCATGTTTGCGTTGATATTACGCTGCCGCTCGCGTTCTTGCGACACTTCCAGTTCTGTATCGGCTACAGTATCGGTCAACGAGATCTCATGCTGTAAGCCTGTCATCTACTACGGCCCAGAGACGCAAAGAGCGGTCTTCGTCTTTGACTTGCCCCGTCAGGAGCTTCACGTCTCATGCCTCAGCCTTGAGCGCGGCCGGAATGCGACCAGCCTTGAAAACGAAGTAGTGAGCGGTGTGGTCGGGCGTGGGGAGCAGACATATCTGACTGTTTGCATGCATTCTGTGTTGTCATTGAAACCCTGACCAGCCGACGCCAAGTTCGGCTTGGACAATGACAGGTGCAGAAACAAGAGCAATCGGCAATATCAGGAGCAAAAAGGGCCAAGGCGCAACAAACGGTCTTCGAGTCAGCACCTTCGGAGATCAGCCTGCGAGTTTTCCTGACCATCTCTACTCTCCTCGAGCCCGAGCCGTTAGGACCGTTCGGAATCTCGGATCCCTCGAACTTGCGTCTCCATGGCAGCCAGTGCGGATGCGGTGATGTGGCCATGTGGGGGCCTGGGTTCAACGTGTCTCGAGAGCTGCTCTTGGCGATCCGCCAGAGCAACCAGCAACGAGTGCATCATCTCGTGGAGGGCCTCGTGGGAGCCCTGCGGCAACAACGAGAGGCTCGGCTCGGCTGTCCAGGCGGCTTCGCTTCTCCTGACTTTGGGAGGCGCAAGTGGGCTGGTCAGCCGAGACTTTCGGCACATCCGTGTGGGATTTTGCTTGCGCGGTCCAGCGCTTGTCGCGGCTTGCTCTGGGTGAGCACGAAAGAGCCTTCTGGACGGAAGTGACGCATGCTTCTTGGAACGAGTTTGGGTGATTGCTTCTGCTGCAGTGCAGCATTATGCCGAACCCCTGAGCTCTCAGGTCATTCGACAAACTCATCTTTCACTGCAGCCTCGTGACTTGAAGAAACTTCTGGAACGGCAGGACAAACGCATGCATCATACAGGGCGAGCAGTCAAGTTTCGTGTAAGGTTCACAAGAATGCTGTAGAAGCCTCCGAGCAGCTGGCCGTCGAATAGGCCCGAATGCTTTGCTGAGGTGAGCTCGCTCTATTTTGCAATGCGTTGGCGTCATCGCCGACGGTCGAACCTGCACGGCTGCTCCTCAAGCGGGTCGTTGAACTTCAAGCCGCCCCTCGGCAGCGACAGCGACAAGGCAAGTCTCTCGGTCCAGAGCCCTGGAGGAAATGACCGCCAAAGACCTCCAGATGGTGCTGCACGGTCTTTCTCACTGTGCTGCGACTGGAGAGGATCCAGGATTTCCCGACCTGGCATCGAGAGAAAGCCTGGCAGCCACTGTCCTGAAGGCAGGGCCTTTTCAAGCTGCGGCCAAGATCAAGGCTTCCTCTGACAGGTTCGGTTGGACAAGGATCATCCGGTGCAAGCAGCGCAGCTGTTGGCTGCTTTCGTCAGGCACGCAGGGCTTGTTGTTGGAGACTTGAAGCGAGCTGTTGAGCGCCCCTGCCCGTCGTTGAGACTCAGCGGTCTTGCCCAGCACTCCTGTCAGAATTGTCTTCGGGATTTCGAGCTCCGGAGAGGTGTGGTTGACATTGAGGGTGACTTCATTAGCTGAAGCAAGGAGGGGCATCATGCTCGAGTATGGAATCTCGGAAAGCATCGAAACTCGGCTGAGAGGTTGCGCCACGACAATGATGCCGTGCTCTCCAAGCACCTCTTTGACCACGCAGTTGAAACACTTCCTGGATGGGATGTGCAGTCCTTGACTGTTCTCTGCACGGCAATTGCAGGAAGTCGTCGTGCAGCAAGAGCATCGATTGAACTGGCTGAAGGATCCGAGGAAGCTTGGGAGGCAATTGTTTCGAGATTGGTTGAACTCCTGCCAAAAGCCAAGCCATGGCAGCTTGCATCTCTGGCCCGTGCGCTCAAAAAAGTCGGTGCCTCACACAGGAGCGTGGAGCCTTTTTATGATGGGATGGAACAGTTGCTGACTTCGACAGACCGCTCGGACTCCTTTTCGCCGGCTGACTTGACCTTCGTCGTGAACGGTTTGGCCCAGCAGAGGTGTCTGCAGCTACGCCGGCCTGATGCTGAAACCACGAGCTTAAATGACACGCAGCCTCTCACGTCGTGGGTTTTTGAAGAGCAAGTTGGGCGCAAGCTACATGCCTTCAGCTCATCAGAGCTTGCCGTGGTCCTGCATGCAGCGATGCGGCTGAGCGACTATGATTTTATTATCTGTTTCCTGCTTAGGCTGCTTAGGCTTTGGTGTGCTGGGAGTGATGTGGCTGTGCAGCGAAACCAGTTGTCTCGCTAGGGAACAGGAACTGCAGAAGCGAAACACTTGTTCACAGCTTGTGCAAGGTGTGGTGAGGGCTTCAGGCCCTCTCAGATAGACTTCAACATATGCTTGGATGCTCCTTTGCTGAACAAGGACGCGGTGGTGCTGACTTCTTCGACATGCTCTTGCCGAAGCTGTTGGAATCCAAGAACCTCACGGCCAAGCAGGCGCCCAAACGTGAGCGACACTCTTCACTTCTGGGTCGCTTTGCTTGCCCTGCCCCTTCCGTGTTGACCTCAGCTGGCGCACGCCTTCAGCGCTTCGGCCGCGGCCGGCCTCTTCTTGTCGGACCTCACCCGGCCGATGCGGCTGCTTCTGGCCAAGGATTTGACTAGCTTTGAGGGCTTTAAAGTTGAAGCTCTGTGAAACGAAGGAGCTTGGAAACAGGACCCAGGTCGAGTTGAAGGTCCGAGGTGGTGAACACTCAGAATCGAGCGAAGAGTTGCGAGGGGTTTTGATCTAGAGTGCAAGTTTCACGGCTTACAACATTGTGTCACCATGGTGAGAGCAAAGATTTTTTGCCGAAGCTGCCAGATCCGTAGACAACTCCCTTCGCTGGTCTAGTCTAGCCTGCATCTCCCAAATTGTGACTTGAAGCCTTGCTCCTGTACCCAGACACGCCTTTGATGCGATGCTGACCTTCTTCGATACTCGTAAAATCTTGTGAGATCTTCCGGGCATAAAGCTCTATGCTTGCGCGATGTTCCGAGGCTGCGCCAGCTTCTTCCAACGTGTGCAATGCTAGGCCCTTCGCTAACTCCGTGGCAGCTGGCCTCAGAGCTCAGAGCCTCTGCATAGTCCCTGCATTTTTCCTTTGCTCGCTGTTTGCCGCTGAGGCAGCTAGCCTATGTGGCACAAGCCTTGGACGTTCTTGCTGCGCTGCGGCAGAGAGGTCTCCGAGGGCCATACCTTTGGCAGGACGATGTCCAGGCAAGATGCCTGCTCAGGCTTTGCGCTCAAAGCATGCTCATTCCCTGTGTCATGTTCGCAGGCCTCTGCAACCGTCGATGTTCTCTGTGCTCGCGCAAAGGAGGTGCCATGCACATGACTCCACATGACCTGTTGCAGCAGAAGTTCCATGTCATAAAGTCTAACGCAGTGCTTCATGGAAGTTGATTCGGACACCTGCCAGTTCAGCTTTCGGATAGACAGAATCGGGCTTGGAACCTGCGTTAGGGGATGCCAGAGAGAGGATGCCAGAGGTGTATTCGGTTCCGCGGCAGAGGCTGCAATCAAGAATCCGTCTTCCCGTGCATTTCCGGAGGTAGTGAAGGATGAACAAAGATGCTACGAAGTTCGTGAGATGCTGCGCAGAAGTGGCATAGAACACACCCGCCTAAGTGCTGTGACACGGGAAAAAGGCGTGTGGACTCAGCGCCATCTTTCAACCTGCACGCTGCATTTGTGCTTTTCTGCCAGCTGCCTGCTTGTTGCTGGATTCTCCTTCCGCGCACGGAATCCCGTCAAGACTGCTCAGAGATTCGGCAGACAAGATGCATAGCTGTCTCAAAGATACGGCATAGCCTGCCATGTGAGCATATCCTTGATGAAGGGAAGCACCAGGGCATGAGTCGATTTGATAACTTTCCTTGCAACTTGATGCTAAAAATTAAGTGCGCGACAGTCTGGTCCGGCTTTAGCGAGGTACGTCATTGAGTTGAGCCTCACGAACCCAGGTATAGGATTAGATACTGCTTCACACCCGCCACTTGCCAGCCCTGTGCTCACAGAGCTGCTGAAAGGCCCGAGCTCCACAACGCTAGCGCCCTCATGAGCATGTTGTGAGCGATGATATAGGCATGTCCGACGGGCAGGTGACAGCAATGCCAACAGCAGAACCTGGGGGCTTCAATGCAGTTTCAATGTCGACTGAGATGCGGGCGTCTTGGATTGTCCTGTGCGCATTGAGCCCCTGCTGTGCATTCGGAAGAGAGGCCAGACCGGCCCCGCATGGCTGGGACAGAAGGCCATGGGGGCAATGTTCCTTGCCTTAGTTTGCTTACAATTGGTGACTGGAAGCCCTTCTGGTGCAGCGATCCCATAAGGATCCAGCGTCTCAGAACCGCTTGGTGCAGATGCTGCAGTACTGGTCTCAGGGCAGGGAATGGTGGCAGACTCTTCCATCGTTTGACTCGGCTACTTCCGAGGACAGCTGCACACCCCGTCACCTGTGTCTTTCACGCAGCCTTCAAGATTGCCGGCGGCTGAATGTGCAGGATATCTTCTGTGTCATCACGTGGAACCTCGTAGCCCACAGCTCTCCTGGCCAATTGCGCTACCTGTGAAGGTGGTAATTCTGATCTACATCTATGGTCGATACATCCACAGTGCTTACGCGACACCCTCAGCTACTGCAGATGTCAGAGGGGAATCCAGTCAGACCCTTGTGTGCAAGCAAGGTCTCCACCTTCATTTTGTGCACCATTTTTGCCGCACTGGACTTCTGGACGGCAGAAGTCTCAGTATCAGACGTGCTCGCATCGAAGTTCGTGGCCAGTTCAGCTTTGCAGGTGAAAAACATCTCTGGCCGTCTACTTGTAGGTGGTCCGCTATTCGACAAGTTCTTGCTGTTTCAGCTTGTGCAAACCAGGACTGCGATGGTGGAATTTGGTCAAGGACGATGGTTCCTCGGAGTGGGTCCCGCGCATATCTATGTCAGCTTTGTGAAGTGCTCACGGAACCTCCCGGACTTGAAGGTGTTTGAGTCGAACCCAGACGAGGGCAACTTGAATGCCACAGCCAGGGGCTCGAGCACTGCAATTGGTCCGGAAACGTTTGGGGTCCTGTGATCCGCAGAGCAGGAGGACAAATGAGGCTCTCTAAGCATCTTTAAGCATCAAAAGCAACTTCCTCCGTCTTCCGTTCACAGCAAGTGTGCGGTTCATTGATTCAACTTCCGAAGGCTCATGCCTTGAAGCCGGCGTCCAGCCTCTTGCCCAGGACCGCAACATCTTCTGGGGTGTCACGTACATTTGGCCCCTGTCTGGAGCTCAGTCGTCTTTTTCAAATCTGAGCGGCACCGGTCTGTAAGCCTGAAGGCTGTGGGCGATATTTCTGTTCATGAACATTCTGAACTTCAGTCTAGCACACCCCTCAGCTTTTTGTCCAGTCTCACAGATGTTGATGGTCATCAATCGTTCAACAATTCCCAAGACATCCAGGATTGGGTTCTCCTGAACATCATGATCTTCATTTTTGCAGGTACGAACCTGGCCGGGTGCCCCTTTTTGCTGAGCAACCCAGCACCGACCTCCAGCAATGGCAGCAGATGGGGTGGGAGGATTTCTGCAGGTACTGGAAATGCTCGACCGATGCCAAGAAGCGGGCGCAGCAGTGGGTGGAGCTTTGTCCTCGGAGAAACGCATACGCTGCTTTCATCGCAGTTCGCCTTGTTCTGAGGAGTCAAGGAATGAGGGCTGTTGCCGGTGCCATGGGATTCGCGTGAGTACAGGCGGAGTCACAAAGTGCCGAGTGATCCAAGCCCTTTACGAGGATGTTAGGTGGCCCCAGCTCAGGCGCCACTCGAGGATCCGGAAAGGTTCGCATGTGTGAACTGCATGCTTTGAACGTTCTGTGTTGTTTCGACCGTCCGACCAGTGTCCTTCAATGGCATGCAGCTTTGCTGCTCAAAAAATCTGAGCGGCTGGAAATATGACTTCACGAGCGCTGGTACTGACCTCACGAGCCCTGAAGACCCAAGACTCAAAACCACACCCTCCTGGACGGCACACAGACCTCTCAAACAGTCCCATCTTGCCTTTGGCAACCTTTGGCAATGGGCTACCCGGTGCAGGTGCCTGTCTCAGCTCAGCCCAAGGGTTCCACAGACACAGATTGTGCTGGCAAGACAATTCTGTCCAAAGCCGTCTCTAAGGCCGCGGCATCTGTGCAGCTAACCGCAGTTGACTTTACGGTGGGCGAGAATGTTGAGGCACTTCTACCGACTTGCAACCGTCCTTCCTGTCCTGCTGCTGCCTGCTGCTTGCAGTCCATGGTCCTCGTGTTAGGATGCAGTAGACGAGGTAAGATCCAACCGCAGAGGGTGCGAAACTGTGTATCCTCACTTGCCTGCTCGGAAGAGAACGTGCCCATGATAGTGGCCCGACAGATCGCCTGAAGATCAAGACTAAGTGACTGGTGACTAGAGCACGCGTCAATGTCATGAGGCCGGAAACAACCTTAGGTTCGCAAGCCACGAAGAACGATGGTCGTGCAGAGTGTGGTCTCGCCGGCTGCTGGAAGCCCCGGGATGGTTCTCACGCAGAAAGGGCATAAGGTTTACTCTCCACTGCCCGGAGCAAACGCGGATAAACGCGGTCCACAGATTTTCTCGAGTATGCTTGCCCTTGTGATCGAGATCCTTGCGCATCCGCTGAATTGCCAGGTTTGGAGCAACAGCCGCGAGAATTGGCTCCCGGCCGTCGTTCGGGACACAGAACACTCAGCTTGCATTCACATCGTGCAGACACACAGCGCGAAGCAAAGGGGCGAAACTTGACTACACTTGCATGAATCGTGCAAGCCACTGAGGTGCAGGGGGTCTACCTAGCGGCCACGACCACGGAAGGGTTTGACGTGCCTCCCGGCTCTGTGCAGCCGGCGATGCCTTATAGCCGCACTTCGTGACAGTCTTGAGGGGACCCCAGACCTCTGCGCAAAAGAGGCTCAAGCCCCCTGTCAGAGATAAAACCCGAATTTTCGTTCCAGTCTGCAGTGGGGGTGGGCCCCAGCGGCGTGTGCTGCCCGAGAAGGTATCAGCCAGCCAGAAAAGCACAGATTGTCAACTTGGAGCATGTTTTTGCTCTTTCCTGCTTGTCTTCAGAGCGATTGGGGGTGGCCTCGCAACTCCGTTTGCAATACCATTGCCGAGTGGGCGGGTAAGCTTGGCAGAAAACGACACAGCGCCCAGACACTGGGTATCTGACTTGCTCACCAGGGGAAGGTGGATGAAGTTAGAGGATACCTTGCCTATTTAGGTGTATGGCACCACCCACAGAAAGGCGAGGCTAAACTTTACTGTTCCAGATGTTTCAAGGTTTTCAGGTTTTAGGTATTTCGGGTTTAGGGAGCACTCGACTTTGGGGTAGGGTTTTTTAGGGTTTGAGAGGTTGCAGGTTTCGGGTTGACGGTGCCGAGTTATTTAGGTTTTTGGGATTTGAGGCCGAGTCTTCAGTTTAGAGTGTAGGGTTTTAGCTGATACACTGTTAGGGTTTCAGCGCTTCGGAAGTTCAGGGTTTAGAGCTAATTTACGGATTGTGGATTTCTGGTCATGGTATTCAATGGGCCGGAGTTTTGGGCTGTAGGGTTTTGTAGGGTTTTACGAAGCGGGACAGGGTTCAGCGCAAAAGGTTTAAACGTTTAGGCTTTCGGGTTTGGGAGTATCAGCTTAGAAGGCGAACGGAGTCGGGGGGCGCTTCCCGGCGGCCCAAACAGAGACTGACCGCAAAGACCTAAGTCAGCATCTTCCTATCTGACCTCCTCTTCTATGGAAGTGGGTAGCGGCAGCATCACGAGTGGATAGTGCACACTGCGCTCCGCCAGGTGAAGGTTATTTCATCAGCTGGCGTGAAGTGGGCAGAAGCCTCAAGCTTCGACGTTTCAAGTCGCCTTGCCTCCGTGTGGCCAAAGTGGAAAGGACTCTCGATAGACGTTCAATGTCGATATCTTGTCGAGTCGTCACAGTTTTTACAACTTGTCCGCCATCTCTGTACACTTTGCTGTAGCTCCTGCCGATCTAGTACTGGTCGAATGGCAACTTCTGAATTGAAGCCAGTCGCTGCATGAGATGCTCTTGTTCCGCACGATCACAAACAATTGCATTTCGGGAGAAGTTGTTGCTGCGCCCTCCTTACGAACTTTTTAGTAAAGCATTGGCATTTATTCGGTTCTCCGTGCTTGTCGCATAGCCAAGCCAACTTGTTGGTCCTACCCACCACTGAGTGTAGTGTCACATTTTTCGATCTGCATGTCTTACGCCTACAAATGCTGTAGTGAAAATAGATGCCCTCTTACCTCAGGATATGCGGTATCATGTATCATGCTGAAGCTGAGAACCCAATATTGAACCCTCTTTTTCAGTATTCTAGATTAGTGCGCAATCAGTAGTTGTTTAATCGGCTGATACCTCATTACAGCATATCGCTGCTTTATATAAGTATAGGAGCATCGAACTGACACTACTTTCAAAAGGAAGCATGCTTAAAGCAGTAGCTATTTTATTTGCATTCAACATTTGATGTTGACATAAGTCTCAGATGTTTCATTAAATTCCTTAGAAACTGGCTGATATTGACCCGCTGCACAACAACATTCAATTGCAAGTGAAGGTTAAATGAGCGGATGTGCAATGGCCATTTTGTTAAAACTTAATCATATGTAGCTGGTATTTGGCCAGTGTTCACCACCCAAAGTGTAGGCAGGGCTGCTAGAGCTTTCGGTTGCTTTTCTGTCGACTTCCTACCTGAATGCTTGGCACGGCTATCTTTAAGCTCTGCTTTGGGCCTTCACTGGGACCCCAGCAGCAGAAAGGGTCATACACAATTCAAAGGTAAATTTCGCCGCAGTTGAATGTCAGTGCTGTTGTTTGTCGTCTTTCCTCCGGGTCCGTGTTGGGGATTCTTCCTTGCTGGTCTGTGGTCGAGGATCCCCGAGGCGGCACTAAGGCATGAGGTGGGGAGGGTCTCCCCTCGACCATCAGCAGGATAGGACCAACACGGAGTGACAATGCCAGGCAGCGGCGGGAGTAGGGCGGACGCCAATTTTCGCAGGCAATTCGGTTGGTACTCCGGACGCGAGTCCCCCCAGTAGGACAGATTCGCAGCAGGCGGACAGTGGCGGCAGGTATCGGCGACGCAGAGGCATCCCCCAATGGGGGCGAGACTGGAGGCCAATCTGGCAACCGAAGCCGTTAGAGGCACAGCTGGAGATACGAAGTCACAGGGCGAGCCGTGCTCGCGGGACCCGTGTCCGAGATTTGTGCCAGACGCTGCAAATCTCGCGCAACGGCAAGGGTGTGTGGCACATCGTCCTCGCTTTCGTCGTTTCGTTTTGTCCTTTGTTGTTGCTGTTGCTGGTCGTTGTGTTGTAACTATTTCTGAAGGAGCACTCGAAATCCAGTTACGTACCACGTGAATACTACTTGGCACCAATCAAACCTAACCAAATGCGGGCTGAAACAACATCTGTTCTCTTTGTGTAGTTTGGCGTGTTGGTCATATGTTAAACCTACAGACATATTTATAGAAAGGTGCTGACACAGTATCCATGATAGTACGTAAATACATTGTCTAAAGATTGACTGGTTGCTGATCTTACGTTAGCCCCAGAGCAACAAGCAAGTACGACAGACTGGTAATGTCGAAATTATAGACTTAGCTGCTAACTGTTTGAACATTATTTGGACATTGTAGCTTGCGTCAACTGGGCCGTAGTTGAATTGCCGCTTAGCTTTCAGCAATATTGGATAAGTGAAAATGCAATGCTGAAGAGAAGATATGTTGTAAATTTTGCTTGCGGGGGTGGTAACTAACGAATAGTATGTGGACAAGGCATGAGTATTTTCTGGTTATTTGTTGGGGATGCCATATATTGTCTATATCTCCTACATCATGAGAACCATCGTTTCCAAATCCCTCAGTTTTTGCGTAGACAGGCAACAAAACTTGTATACAGGCTTTGTATCAATGCCCATCATTAAAACATCTACAATGGAAAGGTTTTTGCTTTGACTTGTGAAAACTCTTCTTGGAAACATCTTCAAGATTTTCCAACAATTCTAAAATTTGGATATGTCCAAAAAATCAATAACTCCAACATGTTAGGACCTAGCACATTCGATAATCCAGAACACCGGGGAGAATCGTTTGAAATTTTGGAAGATCTGGAAAGTTTGGAAAATGTGTTTTTGATAGTGAAAGAAATGCTGCAAATGAGGGCAGAAATCTGCTGGATTTGGGAAAAACTTCGTTGGATGACAAGAATTCGGAACCCAGACAGCTGGTAGAATTTCCGGTAGATGTAGTTCGTGATCACCTTGGGTGTAGGCTTTGGGGAGGGAGGGTGCCCGATTGTTCATCGTGCACCGGCAGTCATCAACAGGGTGCTCGGGGGTACGCCCGAAGCGAAATCCCCAAATTTGAGTCTGGCATCCACGTTTGCATGGCGTGGGTCAGTTTCGTTGCGGACTGTGCCGCATGCTCGCAGGTCTTGATTAGGCTGAGGCTACATGTATGGCTGCTAGCATAAGTCAGTTCGAATCAGAGAGCTGCCCTGCAGTCCGAAGAACCTAGGACCAAGGTACAAGTCCTTCCGCTGTCGGGTGATTGGTGCCGAGGTCATGGCCGATTCCATCGCATCGGTGCTTCGCAAAGCGAGTGCGGAGGCAGAGCAAGGTAGTTGGAGCTATTGAGCAACAGGTGAGGTTTTCTTGGCCTGGGTGTCGCTTTGTTAGCGACGAGCTTCCGGGGCTGCCCAAGTTTGCAACCAGCAGTAATGTAGATCTGTTACATTCTCTCGCCTGTCTTGAGAAGCATGAGTTCGTGTAGCCTAGCAACACAAGTTGGGTGTCTTCGTCACATAGCCTGCAAGCAACGCAGTCTCCGTGGCACGAAACAGCATCCGAAGCTTTGCCTTTCCACCAGCCGCCTTAGCTGCGTCGAGTCGAGCAGGACTGAAGGAATTTCTGCTGGGCTCGAAGTTTTGGATGCTGTCCCAATAGCAGTGGGCAGAGCATGAGCCGCTGCTTGGCTCCTGTTTCCCTGTTTCCATGTTGACACTTCTGCTTGATTTGGATGTCCTGGTGCCTGGCCTTCATTGGTTCGTGCTGTCGGTACAGGAGCCCTGTGGGCGAACAAGCTAAATCTCAAAGCACTTGTGCGGATTGGTACTCGAAAGAACGATTGCTTGGAGGGCCTCGCCACAATGAGCAAGCTGGGAGCCGCAGGAGGCTGGGCCGTGAGTTGGCCCTCAAAGGTGTATTCCGACCACCAAGTGAGGTGCTCCGAGCTCCTCAACTCGAAAGCTCTGTCCGCACCTCAGCGTCATTGTGGCTGTGGGTCAGAGGGCCGAAGCAGTTGCGACTTCATCGGAAGACTGCCAGGCAAGAACGGATGTGGCAGGCAGCGGGTGATTCTGCTCGTCGGTCCTATACTTGAAGTCTTCGACTCCTGTGCTTGCCACCGGTTTGGGGAGGAGCCTTCGGATTGCCCAGCGTGCACGATGCTCCTGATGTTAGCCTAGTTGAACGCCCTTGCAATCCTACGAGAGCGATGTAAAATGCAATAAAAGCGCCAAGTAGCAGGCCAGGCGGGTGTTCGGCCTGCCTTGGGGGTGAAGGGGCCCTGGGGGGTCGGGGGGTATGATCTGGGGGAGCCCAGGTGATTCGGTGATTCGTAAGTTTCAAGACTGGCTTGCGAAGTGCATGACAAGCAGTTGCTGGCAACTGGTGCATAGTGCGGCAATGAAATCCATTGAGCATTGTTGACTTTCAGGGCCGTCCAACCTGGTCTCACAAGAGGTTCTGGACTTGGATATATCTGCTTGATGTGCTGTTCACGCACAGCGAGGAGAAGCCAGAGATCCTCTTACTGCAACCAAGTCGATCAGCCACAAATTGTGTCCGCACCCTCGCACTTCTCTGGCATGCACTTCACGATGTTTTCCGAAATGGAAATGCTTAACACTTGGCATCGGCTTGCAAATGCATGCCCATGATAATGAGCGTGTCATTTTCGTTTTGACGAGGGTCACTGTCGTTGTGCACATGTGCCTGCAGTGAATTTTACAATCTTCACTCTGTGCATGGGGGACGGGTACATGGCTTACATGCTGTGTGAACGCTGGCTGGTTGCCTCGAGTTGTGACGCGATGTTGATCATGAGCTGCACAGAAGGGGTGGGACGGACTGCAGTTCGTCTTTTTTGTCACATGTTCCAAGGCTTGAAGCCCTACGACACCTGCTGTAAGCGCTGTGCGCAGAAGCCTGGGTGCAACGAGCACGACGAGCGCGAACCCGAGTGGAGCATCTGTACTTGTCGTGTACTCTTCTGTTGGAGCCGGGCAAAGCTTGTGAGCACGATGGTGTCTCAAGTGGTGGGTCGTCATGGACCACTGCACAGGATAGTATCATGAAGAGCACCCTTGCCAAGGAATTGTGGCGGTGCAAATGTCACAAGGGCTGTCCAGTGCCGAATCCTCAGCAGGAGTTTTCTAGACATGAAGTCCGAGAAGCAGCGACGCAACTCGTTTGCAGCTGGAAACTGAGGTACAAATAATCAGCCTTGGAACTCCACTCCTCAGCCTCGGCCACACGGTCTAGACCACTAGGCCACAACACAAGGCGGAACTCACGGCCCCGTGCTGGGCACACACCCAACAGTCACTCACTGGATGAAGGGAGCTTTTCAGAAGAATGCACCCCGAGAGGGAGTGCGCGTGAAACTCTAAGTCTGGAAGAAGCGGAAGCTTGGTCTGCTCGTCGGTTGTGGGTTCTATCTCCGCACAGAGTTCCCTACTTGTAGATCGTAGCTGTGGTGGCGCGGTCAGAAGTCAAAAAGCCCAAGGCCAGAAGGGTCTTATTCGGACAGGTTCGGTCTTGTTGTCCCTTGCGCTTGCTTGCAGTCACTGCAGTCAGTTTCCAGGTTTCGATGTGCTCCGGAGCCTCCGCGATGAGCTGGAGGATTGCTCCATGCAAAACAAGTATTGCGGGCTCTCACGTTTGATTCTAGCGTCTGCCTCGCATCGCATCCGACAGGCGATACTGCATGATAAGATGGTGCTTGAGCAGACAGCCGGGGCTTACCGAGCACACCTGTGCTGTGCACTGCACAAATGCTGAGTTTGTCGGACACTGCATTCATCGATTGAGGTCAGGACAGCTTTTCAGCGCGTCAGCGTGCCCTTCGAGAGGCATCACTGGCACGAGTTTTGGCTGTGCAGAAAACTGTTGAGTGAGGCTGAGCTGGCAGCTGCTACGCGCGCCACTGGAGGACCGCGGAAGCCGCGTTGGCTGCGAGGGCTCGGTGCCGGTGCCAGGAACTCCTTGAGCCCTTTGGAGTTCGCTTGGGGGCGGCACCCTCTATTGTCTTACGCACTGTCGAGAGCTGTCAGTGGGTTCACAAGCTGTCTACTCTGCTCGAGTGGTTGAGGTGAAGGATCATTTCTTGGAGCACCTGTGCCAGCAACATGGACAGCCCGAGGACGAACGACCGAATGACATTTTTGCTTGAAAGTCTAGATGCACGGCAACCTGCTAATCTGCTCGGAAATTCCCGAGACCCTCAGGACCGGACGATCGATACAGATGGGATTTTGGCATTGAGCCGCACTGTCCTCGAGGCCGGGAAGCACTCCGTGACCTCAGCAGTGCCTGGACTCCTGTTCAGGATCGATATCGCTCCTGGTTTCCGGAGATCCTACCCGTCGTCCACTCTGCTCTACGAGGTGTCATTCTCTGGCACGTGTGTGCAAGTTGAGGTCTCCACTGCAAGCTTCGTCAAGCAGAACAAGCGGCCGTTGGAAGAGGCGGCAAGCGCTGCTGCTCAACACGCTTTTCGATATTGCCTCAGTGTCAGGTCTATGCAATTGGCAAGAAGCTCGGTCGGAGCCTCTGGCTTTCCGAAAGGGCTGATACCGGCAGCAGGGTCGCACCCTTCTTTACTAGTCAAAGTTTCTCAGACTTTCGAAAATCCATCTTGGGATTTGTTCGCCTAGTTAGACTAGCGTCCTTGTCTTGGCGCTGAGACCTAGCAATAGTAGTAATAGTGGTGGTGGTAGTAGTAGTAGTAGCAGCATCAGTAGCAGTTAGTATGAGTACTGGTAGTGCACAGAGGCTTAAAGACCCTGCAGCCCCACCCTCGTGGGCGCATCGGAGTGTTCAGGTGAGGGAAGCTTCGGGACCGTCTACGAAGTGGACCACAAGGTGCAAGTGTGGGAGCCGGTTACATTGCACTTCTCGTTTGTGCGGCATAGTGTTCTTTCGTAGATTGAAGGGAGTTGAGTGCTGCCCGAAACGGTGGAGAGCTGCCAGGTCCAACGGACCCCAGCAAAGCCAAGCGGCACCATCCAAGCCTAGTGTAATGTCCTGGTGAATTCCAGGAGAAGCTTTTTTGTTGAATGGCCTTTATGATTGGGGTGACTGTGCGTAGTGCCCGCTGAGCACTGACCGCAGTTGTCCGGCGAACGTCGAGTTTGCAAGAAGATCTGGAAGACCAAGTGGGGCGCCTCCAAGTTTCTGTTGCCTCAATGGCTGGGCAGGCTCAACTGTGTTTGATGCTGCGCTGAGGTCTGATATGACAAGTCAACAGATCCTGCAAGAGATTGGCAACATGGCGATGCTGGATCATCCAAACGCACAGGACTCGAATTGAATCTTTGCTCTGCGACGCGCTGTGATCAAGCGCTGCTCAGGTCATCAAAGTTTTTGAGTACTTCGACGAACCCAACTTTGCTCTGAGCTCTGTGGCTTTGAAGGGCGGGACTCGGTTCCACCAAGCACGGCTGTGGAAGGTCAGTCAAATTATGGAACCTTGCTACGGCGGCGAGCTGCAAGACAAGGATGGATGGCACCGTCCAGCCTGCAGATACTCCGCTGTCAACAGTTGCAAGCACGCTGATGCAGGTTGCTGCGCTTCGAAAGACTGGCAAGGCTTCTCTGCAGTGTTGTTCATAAGGTTTTTGTGCTTCTTGCCGTAGCGGCAGGCGCCCTACGATGAGGCTTTCGTGTGTGATGTGATGAAGCAGACTCTGCGGGTTCACGTGGCTGCAAATTTGACGGGGTGCGGCGTCTGGTGAGCACCGTTTGCAATCAGGCAAGCCAAAGCTGTGACCAAAACGTAAAAGAGCGATCGAGAGAGAAAGAGAGCGCAGAGTGCGGTGCCTGCCGTGCTCTTGACTGTGTGGAAGGAAGAGAAAGAGAGAGATCTTCTGTGTGTTCCATTTTACTCTCTCCTCTTAGGCTTTGGCCTTCATGCACAAGAAGCCTTTCTTGCACAAGGATGTCGGCAGCCGCTGCTCATGCTAGCATGTGGAGACCTGCTTGTCAGAGCCCTGCCAGGATTTGAAGCCGCAGAACATCATGCTGGTCGACCAGGTGGGGGCTGCAACACTTTCTGACGGTTTGTCATGAGCCAAGCGTGCAAGAGCAAGTACTAGTATGAGCAGCATTGGAAGTGAACTTTCACTCAGATGTTCGGATCAGTGTGCTTAACTACCTACTTCGTGCACCATCCTGGGCAGGACAGCTCTTCCATCAAGGTCATTGACTTCGGTTTAGCTGAACTGTTCAACCCCATGCAGAAGTTCGGGCCTCGACGGAGGATGGGAACTCGAATGGCATCCGTTGGTCAGTGACGAAGCCAGGTTCGCCAACTTCATCGGCGGCACGAGGCTTTACATGGCACCAGAGGCTGAGCCACCTGGCGCTTGCCAGCTTGCTGCTTTGCGATGTGAGGTGATCATGAATCATGGGTGACCCGAGCATGAACTGACGCAGCTGTGACTGCCCATCGCAGGTCTTCCGCCAACAAATGACGGTGAAGACAGATATATGGAGCGTAGGAATCCTGGCAGTCGTGCTCAGCTAGTTCATTTTTCAAGAGATGGCTTGTGATTCTCAGGCGGGTGTCATTCTCTACAACTTGCTAACTGGTGACTTCCCCTTCCTGGCTCAGTGGTCGGGCCCTGATCTTCGATTTGGGGAATGAAGCAGCGACGTAACAACCAGAGTCTGGAAGCCCTTGAAAGTCGGACGACCCGGCCCAGCATCTTGTCCAGGCCTCCGCCAAAGGGCAAGGACGAAGCCTGGCCACGCACCCAGCGCAAGCTGCAGGACACGAATTCGCTGAGCTTCACAAGAGTTTTCAAAGGTGGGAAGAGCAGACCATCCAGAAGATCAAACATGAAGCGCCAGTCAGGTCGCAAAGGGTCCCTGTGAAACTCTTTCCGACTTGCATGGCTAGCTGCTGTGGGCGGAGTGTTGAAAACTCGTCGGTGTGGGTTGGTCTGATGTGATATGGACTTGTCAGACACCCGCTGCTGAGCAAATGGTCTGCGTGCTGCATGAACCTCAGAGCTGTTCTCTGATGCGACAAGCACTTCGTTGGCAAGACGCATGAGCAAGGGAGTGCTCTTGGCGTTGCCGCCATGGCCGGCATGAAGGTAGCTAATGGTAACTGGGGCTCGCAATGCAGGAAAACTCCTCATCTGCCGCAAAAATCGCACAAATCAGACTGGAAGAAAGCAGAAGTCATGAGATGAAGGTCGACCGAAGAGCTAAGCCGCAGACCATCCAACAGGTCCCACCGCAGTGCTGCAAAACTTGCTGCCATGTTTGTGGCTGCCGCTCCTGCCCGCACCGTGTCAAGATCCTCAGAAAAGGACCAACCCTACACCAGACGCTCGGCTACAGAGGCTGACACAGGGTCTTGGTACAGTATCGTTGCGCAGTGTTTTGTTTGATGCTCCACGGTTTCTTGCTTCCTGCTATGATTGCAGAGAGCATTTGCTGCAGCTGAAGAACTGAAGGAGTGAGTGGTGACGAGGAGGCTGTAGATGCGGATGAATGCACAGATGCAGATTGTGGTGACTTAGCTGCATTGCCAGGAGTGAAACTCGTGCACCAAGAAGGTGACAACCCGGGCTCTTTTGCTGCCTCTTCATTCGGCCTGTTGTTTGGTCCAAGGCATGTCACAGATCAAGCACGAGAAGTGGACTTTTGTCGGCAACGGCAGGGGTCACTACAAGAGGACACGGCCGCTAGTGACAGCCAAGATACGAAGTTTTTCTGAAGTGCAGAGCCCAAGGATGCTGCAGCAGACGCCAATGCCAGGAGCGACCAAATGTTGTTCGTCGGAGATGGGCAAGGCAACTACGAGAAAGAGGTCAGAACACGCGGGTGCCACGGCTGCACAGGTTACGTTGTCTCGGCCATCCGCTCGCTCATTCTCCTAGCCTGGCATGACCTGCTGAGGGGCTCATGCTGGAGGATCCTGGCATTGGTTGCCCTGATAGCAATTGTGCTGGGCTACCTGATCGGAGCTTTGCTGATCCGGAGGACTCATGGTCTTGAAAGACTTTGGATAGGTTTAGTGACGGCAGCGGCAGCTTGTCATGAGTCGTCGAATGTGCAGTCTCTACGCAACAGGGGTGAAGAGAGAGGACCAGAGTAGAGATTTCGGAGGAGCCCCTTTCGCGATGAGACCGTGACATACAGTTGTCGTGGCACTGCGTCGCAGTGGCTGATTGAAGAGCGCGACTGGTGCTGCTCGGAAAGAGGGATCGGCTGCTGGGCGACCACATCACCTCCAGAATTCGATTGCACCGGGCCCAGGCGAATTCCAGGGAAGGGAAGCAACATACGCAGCAGACCGCCTCGAAAGCGGGACTTCTGCATTACCGACCAAGGCAAAGCAGATCAAGACCAATGGGATGTCTCTTGGTCCGTGCCAAAGAAGCACTTCTGCTGCAGCTTCGTTGCCATCGGCTGTGATGAGTACGATTGCCAACTGCAGCTTCACCAGTGGAGGACGTCTTGGTCAGTGGCAAAGACTCTTTGATTTCCCATCAGCTTTAGTATTGAATCCGGTTCGACGTGAGGGAACGGCGTACTTATGAGCCGGTGTCCTTGCTCCCTTCAAGCGCACTTGCGGAGTTGTCATCCGTGCTTTCCCTCCAAAGCTCTCTTACGAAAAATGAGGCAAGACTAATCCTGGTGACGGGTGTTGGATTACCTGGTGATGAATCCCCAGTTCAGTTTAGTACCGTCCTGGTTGCTTCTTCTGTCAAGTCTCAGCATCATGCGCAGATATATTGCACAAGCTTCCAGATGGGAGCTGCGTCGTACCTGTGTGTCCTCGCAGCATCAATGTGGACTTAGTGACCTGGTTCTATTACGAACGAACCAAGCCAAGCGATTGCCCCGAAGACGTCTGCCGAGGAAGAGGTTTTGTTGCGACAAGGAACTTCTCGGTTGCGACACATGCGACAGATCTTGTGAGACCAACGGGCAGAACCACGGTCGCAAACGGGATGTGCCTCTGAGAGCTTGTTTGCCAGAGTTGCCTCAGTCTCTGCGCATGCTTCCTGCAAGCCTGAGGACTGCATCGTGCGAAGAACGCGCGGCCGACCTCTTTGCAGAGGCCCTTGTGTCCGTAAGCCAAGCTTAGACAGTGGCCTTTGAACAAGGCGGACTGCCTCCTTGAAAAGAAGCCCTTGCAGGTTGGAAATTGCAGTCGTGCCCGTGAAGAAGTTCTACAGCGGTGTACAGCGTGCAAAGGGTGCCGCATGGAAGACCTGAGCTGCCACTACAGAAAGCCGCAGGCCGCCAAGGCAACAAAGATCGAACCCAAAGAACGATCCCAGCGGCTCGGGGAAGAGGTGGGGAAAGCAACGACGACGACAAGCACGGCAGCCACAGTAGTCACGGCGATGGCGGCGACGGCTGACGTGTGCGAGAAGCCTGCAAAAGTGGGCTTCATGTGGATACGCCAGGATGGCCTGTGGCGGCTGCGTGTCTGCACCAGATGGATCGCCGATACCATGTATGCATACCAGATCGATCGCCGATACCATGTATGCATGTCTGCCGATGCATCGGCCGAGGCAGAGGAAGGTGCCTCTCTCTGGCAAGGCTCCAGACATCGCTGCCGGAGCTGGCTTCATGTGGCATCGGTCGGCCGATGGCTGGAAACAGGTGGGAACGTGTGCCTTGAGCCTTGAGCTGTGGCCTCTGCGGCTTATGAGGTGTGCATTCCGCATGCACGACAAGTGTCGCCGCCCACTACCCCGGCCGGCGATGGCTTCATGTGGGAGCAGACTCCCGAACCTCGTGGAGGCGCGGTTTGTGGTATCCTTACATAGGCTTCTGCCCCTGCCTCTTCCAGGAACAACAATGTCTGACATCAGCGGACATGTTGCTTGTTTCGCCTTCGGAAAGCATCCCCAAGCTTTGGGTATCAGCTTGCGAACTTGTGGGTCGTACGCGGCATGCCCTTCTGACTCAAACCATTTGCAGCACCTCACAAAGATTTGCTTGTGGTTCGCATGACACTCTCGCATGCAGTGTCCGTGCCAGGCAGGATTTGGGCACAAGTTCCCCTCAGAGTCAAGCTTCTGCAAGGCATATCTATCCCTCAACATGCGGACACCCGGATGCACGGGGATGCTTCGTGACAACGTAGCCTCACTATATGACTAGTGACTAGGCTTTTTTGGCATTCATCCAACACCAAGGCGGGTGTGGGCTACATGTTCCATCGCTCCACGGATGGCTGGCAGCAGGCCCGGTCCTGCATTGCTTCTCAGTGGGTCCAGCCTTCCCTGCTTCGAGGTTCTGGCCCCAGAGAGTTTGAGCCACCGGCAGCGTCCCTGCGAGCGCCGCGCTGGTTTGGGACTGCGATGGGTCTATGCTGCCAGCGACCATGGAAATGCGGCTTGACTGCTTTGTGAGAGATCTTCTAGAGTCGCGAAGATGTGCTTTCAAGGCTTGGCAGCAGCAGCCAGTGCCAAACTGGCAGCCCGACACTTTCAACCCGCAGCCCTCCGTGCCCGCCGGGCCAGGCTGGCAACAGAGGAAACAACATACGCAATGCCCCCAGACTAACGCGTGCACGTGTGCCGAGAAGCAGTCCCACCTTACAAGCCTCCAAGGGTCGCATCGCCGACAATCGCTCGTAAGCTGAAGCTGTCGCCTAGAAGGAGTTTGAGCTGACGTGCAAGAGCAGGCTTCATGTGGAGCTTCGAACCCGGAGATCACGGTTGGACGCAGATTTGCATTCCAGGACGGAGGGGCCTGAGATCGCAGCGTAATGCACATTGCGGTCGAGCAAGTTGTGGCATGCGAGGATGGCAACGCCACATGAATGAGCCTCCTGGCCTTCGAGCTGGCTTGGGCTTCATGTGGAGAGAGGCCTCTGGGGGAGTTGCAGAATCTGCTAGAGGCTCCTGAACTGAGCTCTTGCTTGCTGCAGGGTCCCATTGGTTCCTGGCAGCAGGCGCCGCTAGTGCGAGAGAATGCCTCCGGCTGCATGAGTCAAAGAAGACGCATGCGTCTTAAGAATATCTGACAACTGCATCTCGGTTGACCGGCTTGAATCCTGTCTCATCAAACATCGAGTGAGCCTCGGATGGCCAGTCCGTGTGCATGCATTTCGGCGCCTGTTGGGTCCCATCGATGAAAGTATGCATGGCTGGTGAGCTATCTGACAGTTATCCTCCGACCCTTTTTGCATCTTATAGATGTTCAGTGGTTCTGGGTCAAGTCCGCTGTCATCTCTGACGGATTCGGCAATGCTGATGGCTCGGTGCTCTCTCGTGGCTTGTAGGCCTTCGAAATCCTTCGAACAGCGCTTGAAGCCTAGCTGAGTCTCGTACATGCATGGATGATGTGGAAGTGTGCTCCTGTCGCCTGCTCAGAGGAACTTCTCTCTGTTGTTTGCATGCTTGGAAGGTGCCTGTTCCTCGTGGGTTCCGGGCTAGCTGCGAGGATAAGCCACCCATTGCCGGCTTCGTTTCAGCAGGCGGGAGGGGACGGGACAACAGTATCTTAATCTTTTGCTTCACGTCAATTTTGCTATCCATTGCAGGGAAAAGCATCGACTGAGGCAGAGGTTTCATGTGGAAGTGCGCGAAAGAGCACGAGATATCGGCATGGACACAGGTCCATCGTGATTCGACGGGTGACAGACCAGATGCTCCTCCCCGTGAGCCTCCTGGAAACGGTTTGATGTGGATCTTTCAAAACGGAGCCTGGCAGCAGCGTTTCATCCCTGGCTGGACCGCTCGTGATGCGCCCCACTTGCCAGCTGGCGCAGGGCTGATGTGGAATCGTTCCCTGGCTGATTTCCCTGGCGCTTGCCAATTCGTGCTGTGAGTCTTTTCTGTTGGTGTTTCTGCGTTTGCTGTACCCAGGAGTCACGCTGAATGGTCGGGGCGTGTGGCGTCAGGACATCATTCCTGACTGGGATGTAGACAGCGCGGCGCATCCTCCATCAGAACCAGCCGGACATGGTTTTATGTGGCAGTATGTGGACAAGGGTGGGCAGAAGGAGTGGACCCAAGAAGAGATCAGAGACTGGTATGCCGATAGTGCAAATCACCCACCGAGGGAGTACGCTGGAAACGGTGAGATGTGGAGGTTCGTCTCGCACCAGGATGCTCCAGGTCTTTGGACACAAGTTGCTATACCCGATTGGCGCACACTTGATCAGTTCAATCCTCCAACCCCTGTTGCTGGAAATGGATTCATGTGGCATTTCGATGAGCAGACTGGGCGCTGGAAGCAGCTCAGAATAGCAGGGTGGATGAACGAGCCTTGGGTAAACAAAGATTTAGGCGGAGTCTTGCCAAATTACGGAGATGGAACCCCGCTGCTCCGCCTGTCCCAGGCGACCAGAGCTCATCCTCCGGAAGTCCCAGCGGGTGTGGGCTACATGTGGAAGTGGTACAAGGAAAACGGGGAAAGGCACTGGCACCAAGCGAAGCTGAGCCTGTCGGACCTGACCAATCCGCATCGGCTGCCCAGTCAGCAGGGGCCAAAGTGGGAAGTCGGAAACGGGTCGGGTGCTTTCGGCTTTCCATGAGGGGCCGTCACTGTTCACTAAGGCCTGCCGGCCAGGGCTTCAAGTGGGAGTATCAGGAATCGGGGCAGCCGCATTGGGAGCAGAAGCTCGTGGCGAAGCCGAGCTGCACGGGCTTTTTGTGCTCTCTTCGCGTCTGGTGAGTCGAATTCGCTTCATGCCGGCAACGCTCCCTGTGCCACAAGGCCGGGGAAATATGCATCGGCCAAGAAGACGTGTACAGTTCATCCCCAGGTGAGTCGATCTTGTTTGCATGCTGTCACTTAAATCGGCGTTGCAGTATTACAGTCCCGGCTTGGGACCTAATCTTCTATATCGAAGCTGCCTCCAAGTGACAACACTCAAGCAAAGATGAACGTAGAATCTGACTGAGTGTCGAACTTGCAAGTCATGCAATGCTGTATGAAGCCTTCCAGGATCAGATCCTCGACTGCTGGCATCGGCACATGTTCTTTAATTTGATGGTGTGCATGGTCGTCGAATTGATGACCTGCAGCACATCACATGACTGGAATAAGAGCGAAGAAACTCTCGAGATAACATGCATCTGGTAGGACGTCTGAACAAGCCTAGTTTTGGTGGATGTTTTGGCATGGCCGCAAGAAACATGTTGCGCAGCGCACCCGAGGCAATGACCTTCTAATGCGCATGCTGGACAAGGATGACGCATCCCGCCCCGGACCTACCGGCGAAGATGCTGATGGAGGATTGGCAGGTCGACATATGTCGATAATGCAAAGGTCCAGATGCCACGCAGTGCTTGGAGCATCCCTGGTTTTCCGCTTACAGCGAGGTCCTTCGTGACTCTGCTTCTGCGCTGCTGACATGAAGCACGTGCTGCTCGCGGCATGCAGCATGGGGCAGGTTCCGCCAACCCTTTCTGTCGGCGTGCTTCAATGCGTCGGTCTCTTAGCAATGTCGCGCCAGTGGCTACTCGTAGTGCTGGCACGGCACGGACAGAGGGAGCAGTGTCGGAGTTTCAGGTTGAGTCCTATGCGAGGATGCCGGAGCTTCGCAAGGCCGTTTCCGCAAATTTCTCACTGACTAGGTTGCATTGACTGAAATGTTGTTCTCCAGTGACTGCAAGGGAATCTTCTTGCTTTTGGCGCATCAATACGAAGTGCAAAAGACAGCCGGGCCCTGAATGCCTTCCAAGGGCCATCAGCACGTTCGGGAGCTTCACAGAAGCGCACAGGCCCTCGTGGAGCTCCGGTCACTTTTCACACACTTTGACGTGCGGAACCAGGGAGGGGCCCTCAGCCCTCAGTTTTTTTGAATGGAGTGGCCGGTGGCCGTGGCCCGTGGGTCCAACGGCCAGAGATGTCTGAGATGAGCCTGTGTCCCTGAGGCAGTCTCAGTGCCCAGGATCTGAAAGCCGTGCTGGTCAAGCCTCGCTCTCAGGGTTGCGGGTTTGAAAAGGTAATCGCGCGAGGGCCAGCATAGCAACTTAGCTTTCGGTACTTTCAAGCACAACTGTGCCAGGAGTGGAATGGGAGGTGTGGCTGCCGAGCGGGTTTGCCATGCCCTCGATCACCGACGAGATGGACAGATTACCTGGACCGCTGTTGACGGATAGGAACAGAGGATTGCTACATGCAAGCCCATGTCCAATGTGCTGCGACGTAGTTTCCACGACCATGTGCAGGGCAGTTTCGTGCGAAAAGGTCACTCCATTCCGATGAGCTCTAAAGCCTAAACCCTAAACCCTAAATCCTAAACCCCTAAACCCTGAACAGCCCAAACCCTAAGCCCGCCATGGATAAGCAAAGCTGCTTAGATAGCTTCAGTGTATGCGGGATCTTGCGGGCAGGACTGAGTTCACTGCAGCTGCGATGTGGTATGTTGCCCGAAGCTTACTGTCGCTTTAGCTTTGGTCTCTTCGCAGTCGTAGAGCCGCAGGTTTGTCGGAACAACCGTGCCATCGATGCAGCCTTCGCGACTTTTGATGTTGACCAGGCAGTGATCCGTCCTAGCACTTGTGGGGGGCCACACGCAAGCTTGGCTTTGGCTTCTGAGAGGACGGGCGGATTACTGCCCGTGATCTGCAGAGCGTCCTCGCGGACGAGAAAGGCAAGTCTGTAGTTGTTTAGTAGGATCCGCTTCCCGCGCCGACTGCAGGCCGCGAAGCATGGCACAAGCACATGCCTGCGCTCTTCGAGGACATTGTCGGGGACCAAGTGTTCTTGGAGCATCTCATGCGCAACATGCACCTTGCTGCTCGGCCTACTTGTCCGACTTGCCGTTCATGCCTGAGGAGAAGCAAGAAATCACCTCTATACAAAGGCAGGGTCCTACCGCCAAAGCTTCATGCCATGTTCAGCTGTCGCCATCCAGCAAGGACGGCACGAAACGCAATTCGCAGTTTCATGCACGTCTTGAAGAAGGAGGTGTCGCAGGGACCCAGCCATCAATCTTCATGTTGCCTCCACTTTCCTCCGAGCGCACTCCGTCATTTGTGAAATAAAATCCACAAAAGAAGCAAGCAATCATTCTTCCGTGCTGCAGGCAATGAGGTATGCAAATCTCGATCAGCACAGGGCCCAGTCCATCAAAACACTTCAGTCTACCATGCTGCATAGTGCCTGGCCTTCAGGGTCCTGTTCATGCTGTCTTGACATCCTGGCCACCTTGTTGTGTTGCAGTCGTTGTGGAGAGGCTGTCTTGCTTCCGGCAAGGTTCCGCCAATACTTGCAACAGAACATGGATTTTCGAGTCTGGAGCTTGTTGCATGCATCGCGTATTCCGCTTGAACTTAGAAGTTGCTGGTGAGGCCGGTGATGCGCTGTACGCAGTATCTTAGCAATGAAAAATTCCAGCAATCATGCTCTGATTTTATTGATATAAATGAGAAATTTGCACTGCACACGTAATATTAATGACTATTGGAAACAACTGTGAATATCCAATATCGAAGCAATCCACAATCAATAAATATGCAAACATTTCTGCCCGAGGACCCTTATCAAGGCAAATATACGAGAATTGATCTAATGGTCCTCGTATTGATTTTATAGAAGACGGTATTAAGATGCTACATAATTATTAACGAAAATTTCGAAATAATTCCACACCACATTCATGATAGAATTTATTTATAATATTTTTGCGACGTGTACAATTAAATTTGTAGAGATCCTGCTTCTATATTCTAGTTTTCCTATGCCGGTCGATAAAATATTGGATATCATCGATATTTAGTACTATAGGGAATATGTAGATACTTTGTACATGTTACTACTACGCACGCTATTTAGATTATTTTTAATATGATAAAGTACCTTGAGGACTTATCTGTCGCACGGTCGCGTGGAGTCCTTAGATATCGTAGCTACAGACCGGAACGCGGAAACGCGAATTCTGGGCGATATTATTTGTGTCGTGGGGAGTGTTGCGAAGTGGCGGGCGAGGGTGCGAGTGACGTGGGGAGAATCGAGAAGTGGTGGGCGGGGGCGTATGCCGTGGGCGTGGAACGGCGGGCGAGAGTGGGACGTACAGAATGTCGTGGAGTTGAATGAGGGCATGCTTGGGGGTGGAGAATATCCTACGAATTTGAAAGGAATTTTATGGAATGTGGGCATAATATATAAAGGGCAGGAATTATAAGATAATATTATTAAATAATTTTTTTTAATATAATAAGATATCTTTTCTAATTAATAATTGATCGATATACTACGATTATTCTGTAAATATAAAAAAAAGAATATATATATATATATTATATTCATTTTTCTAGAATATTTTATAATTCTTATATCTTCTTTTTTATTGACTTTATCTTCGATTATACTTTATTTTTTAATGCACGTCATTAGTAGTTTTATATATAACATTATAATGATCTGTTTCGATTATATATAGCATTCTGATTAAATTAAATTTCTTCATCATGATTTCTTAATCTACGACTCCTATTCCACGCTACTACCCATGCCCTCATAGATCCACTATTCTATGATATATCATTCCCTACGAATCCCTTTTATCCTATATCATATACGCGTACCCATCCTCGCCCGCCCCATTCCACCACCACTCCACGATATTCTCGAGGAATATCCACTCTCGCAATAGTATTTTATCGTGGTGATTCGTGGGGAATGACGTGGATTAGTTGGGAAGAATCGAAAAGATTATGGCGGAAGAATACCCCAAAATTTTCGAGAAATTTCTGGGTCCCGGCGAGCAAGCCGATTGGGTCTACCCGAGATCCAAAATTTCTGGAAAATTTAGAAGCTCGGGCTGCAGCTTTAAGAAGGTGGGGCCTCTTCGACGATCTCGGACTAGGCCCAAGCTTCTAAATTTTAGAAAATTTAGGGATTCGGGTAGCTCGACGCCTCGGTCTCGAAATTTCCAGAAAATTTTCAATTATCGCTTCTCTAAATTTTCTAAAAATTTAGATGTCGAGAATTTTCGGAATATTTAGAGAACGAATGCAGCCTTCTAATATCTTATATTCTAAATGCTGAATATAACTTATAATTATTTTTAATCTTAAATTCTAATATCTGGTCTCATCCATTTATGCGGGCAATCGATTTTAGAGATTTTCTCATGCAGTGCTATGGAGCCGCGCTTGCATACGAAAATTCAGTATCCATCTATCTGTCGGTTGTCTATCTCTTTGTCCGTCGGTCCAGCCATCGGTCTATCTCTCTCTATCTCTTTATCTATATCTCTAGCTCTCTCTTTCTCTATATCTACTTCTCTATCTCTTAATTAACAAAATAATTAATAGAATAGAATTCGAAAAATATTATAATGAAATTTCTCGAATTTTATAATGAATAGATATTAAATAAGTTTATAGAATAAATTTCAATAATTTCACGAGAAGAAAATTTCCCAAAAATAAGAGATCCTAAAATAATTACCAAAATAATAAGACCCCAAAACAATACTTCTTATTTTCAGAAATTCCCAAATTTTCCAAAATAAAGAAAGAAGACCAAATAATTCTTTATATTCAAATTCATTCTTATCTTGAAATCATATAACAAATTTCTTCTTCGAATCGAGATATAATTTTCGAGATTATATATTATCGGCAATTTATAATATAAAGAAAAATATTTGCAGAATAATTCCAATCTTACCAAATTCTAGAAATTTTAGAAGAAATATCAATTTAGAAAATATAAGCATATATAAGAACTAAAATATAATAAATAGAAATTTCAGAATAATTTATAATAAATCAGAATTTTTACTAATACTAAAAAATATTTTGAATATTAATTAATCAAATATAAGAATAATGTAGATTATGAGATATTCTATTCTCTATATTTATGTTCTTCTTCTCCATAGATTAAATCATATATATTAAAATATCTTCTGAATCGAAAGTTATTTTCTTCTTAAATTAATAGGAATATAAGGGGAATTTAGAGATATTTTGTCAGCTAATCGATATTACTTATATATTTTTTTCATGGGGTGGGTGGGAGACAGCTATTTATGCAAATATTTCCCTCTGCCTTCCGATCGTCAAGCAGCTTCGATGCACGTTCACACCGCAACTGCCCTCACGCAAAAGCGGCAAATGATCAGATCAAGCCAGAGGCCCCCTACATTGGGCCTCACGCCTTTTGGCCGCAAAAAGGCGGACCTGAGAGAGTCAGCGTCCACAAGACTAAGATGTCTCTGTAATCCTCACTGCAAACAGTCCCCCCTCTCAGATGCGCCGTGTCAAGCCGTTCACAACTCGACTTAAAAGGTCTCGAGAATTCACTACTGCTTCATATCGACAAGCAGAGCCGTACTGTAGGCTGCGAAGCACGACTTGACAAAGCTGCGACGAAGCCGCAGCTTCGGGTCTAAGGTTTCAGATCCCAAACAACACCATTAAAAACGCGAATCTGCTCAGGCAGAATTTGATGAGGGCGTTGAACGTGACGAGACGTATACTCGTCACCTGCCTTCCCCTCATTGCGCTGCTCAGCGTTTGGCAGGTACAGCATCCGGGATCACACTGTCAGGCCACATGACTTCCAGGGGCGGGGGGAAAAGGAGTACCTGCTCATCTGACAATGGCTCGTAAGCGTCGAAGATGTAGTTCGCCCCCACGGCCGAACAGTTGTAGTAGCCACCACAGCAGCCACCAATTGTGTCCGGCATTGTTGCCCTCCGGCGGAGCTCATCATAGTTCTTCGTCTTGATGAGTTTACCATTCTGCATGTAAGCTACACGGCGTACGAGGTACTGATAGGTCACTCCTGATGTCGGATCAGTATTGTCGCGAAAACCCATTCGAATCATGTCCCCTTCCGCCATCTCCACGACAGAACCATCTGGTCGCGTGATCTTCTCGCCCTCTGCAGGCCTGTAGATCCATTGTGGGTCGATGTTGATCCACCTGTCGTTTGGTGAAACACTAAACGGCCATGCAGAAGCTGGAGAGCCGTTGAAATTGTTGCACAAGCAGACTGTTCCAATGCAAGATGGATCATTCGTCCAACTATACTTCGGCATGAAGTATCCTTGCTTTCCCGAGACCCAGTCCATATCTTGAAATGTCAACAGCACTTCCGGTGCATAGTTGTCCTCCATCCAAAAGAGCCCCTTCATGAACTCCGGAGTGTTGGGGTGCTCAACGCTGAGCATCTTCACAAACCAGTCGTCTGGATCGGAAAGCTTCACTGTCGCCAAATCTGTGATCCGGGACTGCACAGCCTTTGCACAACAGCACGGAATCACTGGCTTCGCGCAGATAGGCGCCCGATGAGTAAAGAGGCTGTTGATGCACATGGAGAGGCGAGCACCAAATCCGGTACAGCTGCTGACCAGCTGCGGTGGGTTGTAGAGCTGTGCCAAGGGTACGGCAGCTGCTTCGAACTTGTTCCAATCCAAGTCTTTCAGGAAGTCCGGTGACGGTTTACGGTTGCTTGGAGCTGCCATGAGGCTCTGAGTCTCAGCCATGGCTGTAGAGGGCACTGGCAGGGTCCAGAGGACTACCGAACTAAATCCACCACAACACAAACACGTCGCATAGAAGAAGGCTCCTGTAACCAATGCAGCATGTCAGCATGCTCACGGCGCCCTTGCTGGATCCAAAAACAATTTGCGCGGTGACAAAATGCCGAAGAACAGAACACCGATCAGTGTAGGAAGAGTGACGGCGAATGAGCATCCTTTTCCACATGACGAGACGCAGCACACTGCCCGACGGCACAGATTGCAATGCCACCGAGCATGTAACCTCTGCAAGAGTGCAGTGCGTGGGCACTGCTGGGACCGTGGCACTTCCACCACACCCAAGTCTTGGCGCCCGTGCGATCAAAGAGCTGTGTTTGATCACACAGAGAACTTCTAGAGAACCGATCCGATGCTTGTAGCCAATCTTTCAGGCTCATAGCCGGGACTTCACAAGTCAAAAGCTTCTGCCCGGCTGGGCTTGGGCTCGGCCCCAAGCGGGCTTTTGCGCAAGCAGCGCCCGGCCTGCGGTGAAACATAGCAACAGTGCAAAAGTCGAAAACATGGTAACAGCGACAACGAAACAGTAGCAGCAGCAGCAAAACCACCACCGACACCGCAGCCGCCGCCACCAGCACACTAGCAAGAGGAGACGCAATATCAACAGCAATATCTATGATACATATGTCTCGAGTCGCGTGTTGGACGACAGAGGCATAATCTGAAACACATGCTGGTGTCTTGTGCAAGGCAACGCCGGCCTGGCATGAATTGCTGTCCTTGCTGTCCAAGGTTCTTTCATTCTGCACGTTCACGCAGATAAAAAGGTGGCAGTCTTGGTCGGCGAAGGCGTGCAAGTCCTGCACAACATAACAAGAGGCCAATATTGCTTGAAGATGCCTGACGCTGCTCTCCAAAGCGGGGCAAAGTCTTTGGCAATGGCTAGTTCTCCGCCTGCAGTCTGGTCTCGGAGTAGGAATGCAGCTACAAACACCTTTGCTGCCCGACGAAGGTGTCCCCACCATCGGTTGCAAGGAATACATGTGCGACTGCAGCACTGCTTAAAGAAGAGGTCTGGTCAGCACTGGGAATTCTGTACAGGCTGTACAGGGCGCTGGTGCTGCCCTAACCCCAGATTCAGGTGATACACATCACCAGCAGACACAGACACTCTAGTGCTCACTGCACCATGCTTCAAATTCTTAAAGTAATACCATGCGCGGTGCACAAATCACTGCATGACTACACTAACCATCTTGTTGACGTCTACAGCTCTGCTGTAGCTGAGCTGTAGCACTGCAGCGCGCTTGGGGTCGAGTGGGGAACCCTCGCTTTGGATAGATTTGCGTCCGGGATATTGCAGAAACGACAAATGGCAGGTGCCAGCATTCTTGCTCGAGTAAGTTTCGAGCAATCACGGTTCCCAGCTTAAAGCTACAAGCTCACATTCATCTCACGAACCGGTAGAAGTATGTGGTCTTGTCGTGCGCGTCAGGCAAGGCCAACTCCTGCAATCTGGTTCGGGGGCATGTACTCGTACCAGACCTTTTACGACGACGACGCCTGCGCCTGACTGCCATGAACTCTGTGCTACTGCTACTACTACGATTACAACAACTGATAGTAAGTGGTAGTAGTGGCAGTAGTAGTAGTAGTAGTAGTAGTAGTAGTAGTAGTGGTAGTGGTAGTGGTAGTAGTAGTAGTAGTAGTAGTAGTAGTAGTTACTAGTAGTAGTTACTAGTAGGTAGGTAGGTAGGTAGGTAGGCAGGCAGGCAGGCAGGCAGGCAGGCAGGCAGGGAGGCAGGGAGGCAGGTAGGCAGGTAGGCAGGTAGGCAGGTAGGCAGGCAGGCAGGTAGGCAGGTAGGCAGGTAGGCAGGTAGGTAGTGGTGGTAGTAGTAGTAGTAGTAGTGGTAGTGGTAGTGGTGGTAGTAGTAGTAGTAGTAGTAGTAGCAGTAGCAGTAGCAGTAGATGGTATAGCACTACTACTATTACTACTACTACTACTACTACTACTACCACTACCACTACCACTACCACTACTGCTACTACTACTGCTACTGTTTACTACTGCTCCTACTCCCACTCCTACTCCTGCTCCTACTGCTGCTGCTGCTGCTGCAACTACGGCTATGCCGACGACTACTTCTACAACGACGACGTCTGCGAGGACTTCCATGCTTGCTACTGCTACCGCTACCTCGCGCTACTGCTACTACGACGACGACGACTGCGATTACTACTGCGGGTACTCGTACTACTGTTGAATCTTGCATCGATTTTCTGCTGGCAGCATCCCGAATCCCAATATTGATGTCAAACAGCTCGCAAAAAAAAGGCATGTGAGCAAATGGACGAAATCCCGCATCACTCATATGCCTCACGAAACATTGACATCAGAGGGGCGAGGGGAGTGAGCCAGTCTACTGCATTCTTCCTGTGGGTGACGCAGTATTGTGGCCACCCGCCGTAGCACTACAAAAGCACTAGGACCACTACTCCTCTACTACTACTGCTGCTACTGAGCAGCTGTAACTCCGAGTGCCAGAACTGGTACTAGTACTAATGCTAGTAGTAGTAGTAGTAGTAGTAGTATTAGTAGTAGTAGTAGTAGTAGTAGTAGTAGTAGTAGTAGTAGAGGTGCATAGTAGAGGAGCAGTCCTAGTGCTTTTGTAGTGCTACGGCGGGTGGACACAATCCTGCGTCACTACTACTAACTACTACTCACTACGGGCCACGGACTATTGACTACTGACTACTACTGCTGCTACTGATTCACTGGTACCGCTTCTACTACACTGCTGCTGCTACTGCCGCTCCCGCTGCTGCTGCCACTACCACTACTAGCACGACTACCAGGAGGTCGACGACGGCTACCTGACATTAAATGCTGTTGGCCGATGTATGCTGAACTGGAAGCCTACACTAGGGGACACGGACACGTTACTGTTTGGGGGGAGAGATCAATGCAGTACTTGGAAGGGCAGGGCATAGTACTTTCAATGTACTTTCCATAGCAATGCCCTGGCAAATTCGGTGAAGGAGCCTTTCCACACATTTGCAGGCGAGCGCATGCTGCTGGTTCAAGATGTGCCGGGGCGCACTCCTGAAGCAAAAAGGGAAGCCTCTGGGCTCGCTGCACGGCAGGATGACTACTGCATGCAGCACTGCGGCGTGACTTTCAACCTTCGATCCACATCTCATCGCCACCCCGACCCTCAACGACTCAACGGCCTTGAAGACGCGGCTGGCATCCTGCAGCAGGGACCGCAATCCAGCCAATGCCGCCAAGCCTAGGCTGTGGACGGTCTTGACTGGCTCGTAGGGCAACAAATTTATGTGACCCGGGGCGACCACAATCTTTTGCCCAGCGACTTCTGACTCTAACCACCAACAGTACCACTGTGCCAGCTACCGTGACCGCTTTCAACGCAGACAGCAGCGCCGAGGTGTCCTCACCTCACTTGCGTCTGGGTGGGGTTTGCGTAGAAGCTCGTATTACTAGTTGACGGTTAGGAGGCTCTCTGCACCCAAGATTCTGTACACCACGTCGGTTGCTAACACGGTGGAAGCTCCACGGCATTCTGCCGGTAGTTGCTCATGCCACTCCCAGCGACTTGTACGAACTTCTAGGCCAGTCTCCTGGCAACTGTTCAGCTTTCATGCAGCAGTGCTGAGCACTTTGACGATGGATTGACAAGTTGCGCTCAGGCGGCTCGTCCACTCGCTGGCTACTCTCCTCTATCTTCTTTCAATATCTTTCAATCAGATAGCAGGCCCTGCCCATGGACAGATAGGAAAATCCGTACCGCATCTCGTGGAGACGAATTTCCTGGCCGAACTCCGGCTGCTGCCCTGTCACCCGCTTCTGTTCCCAAAGTGCATCCCTCTCCTTGGCCGACTGCTGCACCACACGTAAGGCGCGCTCGCTCCGATCTGTCAGGACGACCTGACCAGGCCGCAGGCGCACCGCGTCGTGTCGTCTGAGAAGCTCCAGGCCTTTGCTCCCAGTGCTGCTGCAGTGAGTCCAGCGCAGCCCGTGCCACAGCCCAGCTCCACGACCTGCCGCAACTGAAGTGCAACACAAGTGCAAGATACCGCAGCCGCTGGAACGGCCTTGGATCCCAGAAGGGATGGTTCCTCGCAAAGCCGTCTTGCCAGCAAGGCTGCGCAGTCATACATGACCTGCTATACGAAGCTGCAAGATGGTATGAGCAGCTACAGCTACACTCAACAACAAAGCTCAGCTCGCGACTCCGGCAATGCCCACGGAAGCATCTTGGTGCAACACCTCGCTTTCATGTTTGAGTGTGCGCAAGCCCTTTTTGACAAGCCTTCCGCTTCACGGTATTATGGCTGTAGAGACAGACCGTGGAGGCTGCTTCATCTGAGCCCTTCACTAGATGAAGCTTCTTGCCAGATGTTGGGACAAGGGTCAGCGTTAACCTGCACGGTCAGCAGCAGCATCAGTACAACAGCTCAAGCGGCAAAGTTACAGCCAACATTGTGTAGCCTCTGCCACAGAGCTCTTATGTTGACAGATGCTTGTTCGGCGAAAAACATCTCACTTGTTGAGGCAGATCTAACTGAGTGAAACACAACCAACGGCCGACAAAATCCAACACTGTCCACAAAATTGCTCATAATGCGCATGGCTTTGGCAGTGTATTTGAACTTGACTAGTACGAAGGTTTCGCTCGTCGAGGACCATGAAATCATCGCCCATGGAATTATAGAACTTGTGAAAACTTCCAGATCAGTGCAGCAGCAGCAGAAGTGGTGAATGTCATTGTTGCAGTACAGTATGTACGAGGATGGGTGGACATGGCTATGGTGGCCATATGTGGCCATAGTGGCGACGGAGGATGACGTCGCGCGCTTCTCGATTCCCTGCACTGGCCTCTTGGCCTCAGCTCGCTCCAGGTCATCGAAGGAGCGAGGCGCCAGCTCAATGCGCAGCCCCATGAAAGCTGTGATCTTCAAAGAGCCAAACAGCTGACGACATCAAATGCATCGTGGCATAACCCATACCAACATAGCTAGCTCTCTATCTGTCTCTCTCTTTCTCTTTGTCGCTTGTCTGCCTCTTTCGCTGTGCAGGACACACACACACACACACGCACACGCATACCCAATTACACACAGATACACCGACGCACATACATACATACATACATACATACATACATACATACATACATACATACATGTATATACATACATGTATATACATACATGTATATACATACATGTGTATACATACATACATACATACATACATACATACATAAATACATACATACATACATACATACATACATACATACATACATACACACATACATACGTACGTACATACATACATACATACATACACGCACACACACACACAAACGCACAATACACACAAATGTAAACATGGATGCACATCTCGGCCCCTGCGTTGTAGTGGACTTCGCGAGAAGCTACACAACGATTGTAACCGAATGTGAAACTTGATTGTGCGGAAGTGAGTATAGACACAGGAATACTCCAGACCTACGTGGGCGGTGGGGGTGTTCGGGTTTGCCGTTTGATGTTCAAAGCTCGCAGTCCACGAAGGGGATTGCCGCATACTTCTTGATGTAGGTGATTTATGTCGTTGTAGGAAATATCTTATGCTTGTTTCACGAACCCCATCCTGCCTTGATGGCGGGAAGCTGTAGCAGCAAGAAGCAGCAACGCCACAGAACCAAGAAGCCGATGTGTGCAAAGTTCACCTGAGCTCTTTGCAGTACTCTGTCCAATACCACCACGGCTCTTGTTAAACGAATCCCAAAAGCGAATGTTCCAGAACATGGACACTCGCCTTGACCCTGTCGAAACAGCGCGGCTTCGGACTTGTCAGGCGACTCTGCGAACGAGACTGCTGTGCCGAGGAGCCTTCATTAAACGCGCTGACGGTTTGGTGCCCAAAGCGGCGCACGCAAAGGCCCGGGCTCGGCCTTTCAATTCAACTCGCTGCCCCCTGCTGCCCCAGCTTGTCCGAAACAGGAACCCGAAGCAGTCGCTGCCGTCCGCATCTACTAAGACTACGTTCGATGCTCTTGTGCCCACCTCACATGTTATGGAATCTGAATGTTGGGGAAGGCTCTATAGATCCACCTTCAAGCCAAAGCCATCTAAGCCCCTTCCGTATTCAAACGGTTCTCCAACTGTACGAGCCAGCTTTAAAAGCTAGAGGCCAACACTGGAGGCCGTTTCTTGCAAGAACTGGAGATGCAGGGTTTCGGCCTGCAGTACCTGCCGGCCCTGTCACGCTGTGCTTTTGTGATTTCTTTGCATTGCCTTGAACGGCTCCTTTGACGATTCTCGTCTGATTTCTCTCTCAAGGAGCATCAAGTGCAATTCAGCTCGCTACCTGAGCTTGTCACTCTGTCTGGTCAATAGAAGCCCTAATACTTCGCGCCCTCTGCGAATCTACACACTCGCATGATGGACGATACTTCATCACTGTTGTCAACCAAGCCTGCTCTTCACGGCTGAAATCCTCGGAGCTCATGTAAAGAACGATGTTCCGACCTCTGCTTGCATCGAAAACGCTTCGGCCAGCGTCAGGCTCTCCACTGCCGAGCACACCACCTGCAAATGGCAGCCGCGCTGCCTTCATCCGAGCATCCTTCAAGCATCAGGTGTTGCCATGTCTTCCGAGCCCGGAAGCAAATCCTCTTCTTTACCAATTCTGCGAATCAGCATTGCCGTCCTTTTCCCGTAGGAAGCGCAAAAGTCCTGTGTATCCTGGGTGCACGGACAGAGACCGGTCACAACTTCCAGCCGCGTTCAGAAGCTACTCCTCGCGGAGCACATCCAGTCGAGCGGCCCGCAACTCCACTGCCATCGATGAGGCGTCGGTCGCTGAAGAGAGTTGGGAAAACGCAGCAGGGCACAACCTGAAATGCAGTTTGGCTGAAGGCATAGAGAGACGACACGCTCATACACGCTGCTTCAAAGGGACGGCGAAAGGGCAGCGGGCCAAGAGGGCCAACTCCACGACTGCATCCGTGGCCTCCGTGGCTAAGACCACAATGACCAGGCCGTGCGCAACTCATCGCATTTAAGCGGTCCTCGTCCGGGTGCATGGCAACCACGGCGCGGGCCTTGCCGACCAAGTCCCGAGATGAATCCTGGTTGTGTGTTCATTGCACCGCCGTACATGTCAGGAAAAACGTCTCGGGCTCTGCATCTGATAAGAAGCTGGCATCAAAGTGTGCCCTGACATGTCGCACGGCAGGCTCCGAGTGGACATCCTCCTGAGCTAGTTGCCCAGACCGTCATCTTCAGCAGAGTTTCAAACTTCTCACGTGCGTCCAGCTTGGTATGCCTCACCCTCTGGATGGAGGTCGGACATCTCAACCGTGGGCAGGCTCCTTAGGCAGCAGGCCCGTGCTGTCAATATACTCAAGCCTCTACCAGGTCAGGAAAGACAAGACTGAAGATAACACCCAGGCGCTCAGAAGTTTGCCTGGGGTCGACTACTACCACATCTGCGATACCATGTGAGTGCAAAGCGAAAGCCAGAGCTCCTGCAACTGGTGCACACTGCACACACTCTCGCCGCGATGTTTTGATAAATTCCAAGCGGCCTTTTCCTCCGGCTACCTCAAGGATGTAGCCGAGGCTTGCAGAGCCCTCACGAAGTAGCACAGGGCATGAACGCCTACATCCATGCACAAAGCCGCCTCCACTGACTGCAAGAGTTCTGCAGCAATGAAACTGGCGAAGACGTCATGTCTCACATCCTCCCATGTCCCGTGCGAGAGTGTAGGCTTAAGCCTCTCTGATATGGCATAAGAAGGCCTTGCACTGCAGCCTGATTTCAGCTTTTCTGGATCTGGCGCCAAGGGAAAGAAGCCGGTCTGCCTGGAAGTGACGAAACTCTGCGCAAAGAGAAGGCCACGAGGCAAATTCTCTCTTTGAGAGCCGAGCTTGGAAGACTGGAGGCCCGCTCGCCTTGCTTGATTCTCGGTCTTCCTCAGACAAAAGATGACACAAAAAGAGTCTATACTACGAAGCTTCTACTTCGTTCTACCCTATCCTCCTTTGGGCATGGGTCCTCGCAAGCAACGCTGCAAGTCAGCGAGAAATCCTGCTTGCTCATGGCCAGCGCGCGCGTGCGCGGAAGCTTCTCCGACAGTACCTGCTATCTGGGCAAGGAGTTGCACGGCGTGTCTGATGGATGGTTATATGACGAGATGGCACAAAAAAGTCGAACCACCCGAGCAACAAAGCGATGCCAAGCACCTTCAAGTCAACGGCCCGGCAACGCTCATCGGATTCCTGGAAGACCACCTGAACTCGGTGGCCTTGTCGGGTCATAACGGTCATAACTCAGTCAGACTTAATCACGGAGACGGGGACCCTTCGCGCCTTCAGCAACGCCTGCCACGATGGCAAGCCTACGGCCGAAACTTCGATGCTGGTCGATAGGGTTTAGCGTGAGCAGCTTCCGCAGGTCGCCCTCAGTCTTGAAAGCAGCCACTCAGGGAACACAGCAAGGAGACTTCGCCGAGAACTCGCCTCTGGCTCAGAAGGCTCCCCCAATTCGGCCGAATGAAGCGACAGCTCCAGGCCGTCATCTTGAACAGTTGTCATCTGGCCAAAACTTTGCAATTGGATTCAACTTGCACCCATCTCTTGAGCCACACACAATATCACTGAGGAGCGAGTTTAATTTGGAAAGGATGCCCAGTCTGAAGCTACACTGCAGCCGAAAGGTCAGCCGGCGAGTCGACTTTCACATTGGAAGCTTTGGTGAAGTCTCAGCACCATCTGTTCAGCCTGAGCTAAGTCGTTCCGCTGGGCCAGGCAAAGTTCTTATTTTCGTCCCAGAGAGCTTCACTGGCTGATCTGCCAATCAAGATGCTTCGCTGGCTCCTGCACAGATGTTCATAATGCACGCCGTATTGGCTTCTGTGGCTTTGCCTGTTCGAGAAACGGCAGGTCCTGCTGCGAAGTGACTCAGCAGTTTGGGCAAGCCGATCAAGGTTGGCGCGACGCTGCTCTCGTCGTTTTTGGGCCTACGATAGATGCTCACAGATTGTCTGATGCTGCAGATGTCCGCACCGAACAATGCCTCCTCGGGCTTGCGCAGCCCCAACAGGATGCGATTCTTCGGTGTGATGGCCTTGCGTCTGTTGAGCCAGCATGTCTGCTGTGACCCGCTGTGCTCTGCCAAGAGCCAGGCCGCATCGATTCGTCTCAGCCGGGCCTGGCCGCGCCGCAGTCGCGGTGATTCTTACTGATCTCTTCGACAGATGAGAGGCTGACGATGTAACCCGGCGCTGCATCGATCGCTCCCAAGCGCAGCATGTCGTAGGCAAGTCCACGGTCCATCTGATATTCCTTCAGGCTCACAGACCGTCGTGACGAGCAGATACTCGCAGCAGTCAGGCCTTGGCCAGCTCCCGCAGCATTTCTCCACGTGCTCCCTGCACGCAACTAGGCAGAGCAATAACGAACCCAAGTCATCTGGCATCCCGGCATCCCGGCCTTCTCACCATGGCAACATGGCACGACGGCGAAGCTAACTTCTGCTTGCAAACACTCGTGAATCAGCTCATCGGCAAGAACTCCACAGGCGTGACACGCCGTGACCACGGTTTGAGAAGCTTCGACGCCAGCTTCTTCCATCAACGTTCGCAGCCAGCCTGCAGTTCGCAGATCCACGTGCCGATGCTCGATTTTTGCCTCAGGAGCCCATGCTGCTCGAAGGTTGGAGTAACCTCGCGGCTGATAGATGTCTGCCACGATGGCCTGCTTGATGCGACCGCTCGCGAGAAAGGCCAATGCAATACCTCCGTGACCGCCCGCAGCATCCACCAGCAGCTCATTATCTCCCAGCAACCGTCGAGTGCAACGGTGAAATGCCAGGCATTCCTTGATTTCTTTGACTTCCGGCCTTGGAGAAGCACATTTGTGCCAAGCTTGAAGCAGGCCGGTTTCGAAGCGCCCTTGCTGTGTCCCCTCTCGTGGAAGCTCGGTCGGTGCTGCTTTCAAAACCCTCCACTCGCGCTTCCCCTGCTTGCAGCACCGCCAGCATCTCCAGTTCAAGGCGACGAGGCTCAAGCGTGGGAAGCTCCAAGGGCAAGTTCCACTCAAGAATTGAGGCCAGGATGGCCAAACAAACGAGCGCCTGGGCTTCGTGCAACAAAAGGGCTCGCATGGCAATGCGCCCTTGAGGAAGGGATTCTGAAGCATGGCCCCCCCAAACCCAAGTGACACATAAGCTCTCGTGCCACTACGCCTGTGTAGCAAACGTCGACCATTCCCAGTCCCGTGCTCTTGCACACGATTAGCGAACTCAATGCGACCGCATGTTGCTTTTTGCACTGCATCTTGAGGGTTCGGACTCGAGCCGTGACTGCTCCGATGCAGTTGGCGATCTGATGCGAAGGCTAAACACATTCTGCCGCATCAACCCGCGCACGGTTCCACATCGCGTGCATGCACGTATACGACATCCGAATCGTCTTTTCCCCGCAGTAGCCCGCATCCCCGCTGCGGATTGCGACGATGGAGAGCTGCTCCCAGTGAAGCAATGGCCTCAAGCACTTGCAGTGGCAGTTGCTTCTTAGTTTTTCGACACATTCACTGGGTAGGGTGCGCTGCTTACATCAGGAAGGCTACATCGCGCAGCCAAGTGTAGCAGTGTCAGAGGCAAGCAGACGCAATTTTCTGGCTCATCGCCCACGGCCGTAATCAACCTGCTTTGGGACCTGCCATGCTGACGAAGCGCGGCATTTCGCAGCAACATTCAAGACTTGGACCTCGCAACGATGCAAATGCTCGTCGAGATAGTGCTGCAGGATGACAATGGCATGGGACCCTGCGGGCTTACGCAGCTGAGGGCTGTGGCTTCTTATATGGGCGAGATGAGTGGATGCCTAGCAAAGTGGTGCCGCCGAGGGAGGTGCGCACAATATCCGCTTGCATGGAGCGTGCAACCTGCGAACTTTAAAGGGCTCGAACGTCGAAAGTTGTGCCAACTTTTGTGGGGCACCTCCTCGTAGGCCTGGACGTCGTGAGGCCCGAAGCCACGGTGGTCACCCAAGACAGCTACGACACCCACGACGTTGGTCCTGGTGCTGCGCCAGCTAAACACATGTTGCACAAGTGCTGCACAGCCGAACTTCCCACCTGGAAATCTGCTTCAGCACTTCGACTATCGGCTCCCCCTCTGCATCCAGCATCAACATGACCTGGATTCGACACTTCTTGCTGCCGGCATAAAGTCAACCGCTTCATTGCCCGGAGGCTCTAGAGGCTCAATGGCAACAGTGTGGGCACCTGCGAGCTTTAGGACTAGTGATTAGTTCGACGTTGTCTAGCATACACGAAGGACTGGATCGATGTTCTGTTCCCACGATTCTGTGGTGACATGCTTGCCCAAGCCGTGGGAACATCTTCAGGCGTGCTTACGAAATGGAGCGACTCTTCCCTACGTGCTGAGAAATGCAAGAAACGGAGCAAGGATCTGAGAGGCAACGCCAGTCATCCCGCAAGCGAGAAGCAATTCCATGCTGCGAACCTGGCCCGAAACCTCGAACAACAAGCCTGCACCCTAATTCCTCCCGTGGCCCCTGGACTCCTTCTGGCGTTCCGGTCCCAAAGCCGAGTGGCCACGCGACCCTCCGCTGGTTCTGAAGGCTTTTTCTTCAGCGCGGCCTCAACCGGGAAAAGCAAAGTTCGAGTCTGCAGGCTCAAGGATCTCAAGGGTTGCAGGTTTGACCGGCGCATTGCGTGGATTCAACGAGGCATGGTTGAGCTCAAAACCACAACAAATATAGCTGAGCCACCACTCATGACTCGCTAGTTGCCGCTGCCACCGCATTGCTCACCGTTCATCACCAAACATGGATGGGGTTCGTTCCGAAGCCTTTAGGAAGAGGGTCTTCACCATGCCGGCCCGGCCTTGAGTGCGGCCTTCGTAGACCGTTCTTTGACCTCCAGCCCTCTCAAGTTCGATGCGCACCAAGCCTCGCCACTTCCAGGCGTGCACTGCACTGCATTCCAAATACCCTCCTTGGCGGTTTCTGGCCTCCGGATCTTCGTCCGGGTCCGGCAAGCCTTGACCCGCGAAGTAAGCTTCGAAGGCCTCGAAGACGCGGGAAGCCAGGCGTGGCTCGTCTGGCACCAGGCCTCCCACCGTTCCGCACAAACCACACAGCCGTGCACTCCCAATCGCCCCTCTGCCTCGGGCCAACGCGCCCGAAACTTCGAGGGTGTGGTTGCTGGCTTCGAAGGACAGGCAAACCTGCCCACATTGATGCCAAGCGTGGAAACAGCTCGGCCAGGAACGTCTGTGCCATTCTGTGCCTGCGTGTTGCGCCGCAGCCCTTGGCTCCGAAACAAAGCCGCAGAGACACAGCGCAAGCCCACGTCAGCGCGGCCGCAAGCTCGGGGATCGTCAGCTGTGAACCTGTCTCTGGGCTTGGCAGGATCCGGTAGGATTGGCCCAGCTGCAGAAAAGCCAGAGCCAGTTTTTTCCGAGGGGCGTTTGTGCATTTGCCCTCTGCAAGGGCAGCAGAAAGCGGCGCCAAAAACAAGGTGCCTTCGGCCTCCCATCGCTGCTAGCTAGTGCCAGTCAGTGTACAAACGACAATGTTACAATGATTACTACGCCTGAAATCGGCGACGCACCCACAAATCGCGCGCATGTGAGCTTAGATGAGCTTAGAGCCTCGTGCCCTCGCAGGGCAGGAAGCGCTCCGAGGGCTTCGCACCAAAGGTGCAGCGCTTCGTGGTGTGGCCCACCTGCAGACGCAAAAAAGGCCGGGAAATGCGTGAGACATGAAGCAACACAGCCAATCTCAGATCAAAGAGCGGTTGCCTTGCCACAATGATTGCACCCTTCCAAGTTGGTGCCGTCGCTGACCCTGGCAGGCAAGGGCAAGGGCTGCTGGGCGATCCCCCACCTCAGAGTCCAAGGCTGCCTGCGTCCTTCCTCCTCGCAGCGGCTGGGGCGGCTCAATTCAGAGCTGGTCAGCTCTGGCGTCCCGGCAGGCGCGGCAACACTGGTAATCTCTGTCTCTTTTCGCTTTCGCTTTCTCGCAGGGGTGGAGCTCACCGCAGGCTCTGTCACACTGCACCACGCAGGCCTTGGCCGGACACTCATAGTAGGCAGTTTGACTTGAGATTCCTTGTGAAATCAAGGTACAAGGCATATGCCATGCTCTCCAGATCGGCCAACCGTGGCATGCGCCGCCTCTGCTGCCAGTGCCGTCAAACAGCAAGAGCCGCTGCCAGCCGAGGCGCTTCCGCAAAACGTGCAGCAAAGCGGAGCCTTGGGTCCACCAGAGTCTCCTTTAGCTTTTTGTTTGATGTGGTCGAGTGGCTGAGCTTGGCAGAATTGAAGCAAGAGAACATGGAACGATGTGAAAATGGATCACCAGCTGTGAGCACTGCAAAAACCGCCCTGCTTCGAGTCTTTGTGCCAGGAGGCGAGATCTGGAGTTTGTCTGCAGCTCTTTTTCGGAAGGTCGCGTCTCGGGCGGACACAGCAATGATCGGGTCGCGGGGTGCCGATGGCAGAGCCTGTTAATGCCAAGGCCCGGGCAACCTCATCCATTTCCATGGACCACCTTTCCGGCAGTTGTTCTGCATCTGGCAAAGTGCCTCTCGAGCACGGATGGCTTCTTTGCGAGGTGGCTGTGGAAGCCAGAGAAAAACACAACCTAGCCCTCGCATTGCAAGTGAGTGGCGGTACCATTTCAGGAGGGGCTCCTGGGTGGTCAGAGAGAAGGCCAGGAAAGGTCAAATGCCGGAAAGGGCACGAACACTACTTCTCTCCTTGTCTCTGACAGCCTCGAGCGACCGAAAAATGTCCATGATCTGGGTCACAGAAAGCGTGCTGACAGGCTGAACAAGAGAAGGGCTGTCGCGATGTTGCGCGGTCTCCAAGAGCACGGCGATTGCACACTCGGAGTGCTTCCAAGAGATGAGGCCGATGCGGCCGCCCTCGCCGAGCAGACCGAACCTTGCCAGGAGCGAGTAGGAAAAGAGCCGCCGGATGCTGCAGAACACACGCAGCACGCACACTTCTGCACGACGTGCGCGCTGAATCTCAGCTGGGAACGCCGCCGAGATTCCCTGCAGCAGCAGTTATTGCAAACGATCATCACAAGACGGCGTGTTGGCTTAGCGCAGATGTTTCTGATGTGCACGGCTCGTGCAGCTCTTGTGTTTGCTTTAGCAGCGTGCAGCAGGAAGCGCATGCGTTCTTCCTGGAGCTGATCTGGTAGCCCATACTAGTTACTAGGTCGACCTCCTGCAGGTTTTCCAGGCCCGACTGATTTTGGCAGATACATTGAGTGTATCAACGGTGCCAAAAGCCGTCAGGCCATGAAATAAAAGGTTCACTCTGAGTCGTCTGAATCTGTCCTTCAGGTGTCCAGCAGGTGCGGTGTAGAGAACGATACTTAGGTCGCAGGACGACACTTTGTTACTTTTCTGTCCTTTCTTTGGCTAAGCTGGGATGACGTCGCAACAAACAGAAACATGTGTCTTTCCACTCGCAAAATGTGAATTCAGGTGCCCAAGCCTTGCGCATCTCGTCAAACCTGCCCGGCTATGTTCATAGACTTGTCTTCTGTTGATGTCACGGCAGACTGCTGTAAGCTTTGGGCTCGCTGTTCAAATGGATGCGCAGCGCCTGCAGGCTTGCACGACGGTGGAGCTCAAGCGCCACGTCACTGCGACAGCTCTGAGCAGCAGGTCTGCTGACGAAACCCAGCCTGAAACGTGAGCTTCGCCGGGTGCATGGCTTGATATTCCGGTCCCTGCAACAACACAACGAGAAGTAACGAGAAGTAGATTGCAGGGTTGACACTCGGAGCGTGAGCAGCTGAGCATATGCTCCCAGGCTGCCTTGCCCTGCGCCACGAGTGCTGCAAACTCTCGGGTCCGCTTCCTTAACTCGTGGATGCAACCTTTGGCCTCCACTGCGGTGTGTTAAGTAAGCCGACCCTGGAGATCCCGAACCTATCGCAGCTGCGTCACGGCAAGGCACCCTTGGAACGTGCCAGACAAATAACGTCCGCGATTCGCTGCGAAGCTGTTGCGTCCGATGTTTCACCGTACCTTTGAAAAGCAAGCATTCATGCCATCGGCGTCCAGTGAACAGCATGCTTGGCAAGGTACTCCGAGATGACCCGAATGATCTCCTGGTGACAACAAGAAACGAAGCCGAACGCGGGGCAAGGCAGCTGTCTTGTGTCCTCGCGCGAAGCGGACATGAGAAAGTCCCACGCAGTGATGCCCTTGGTCTGGTCAAACCGCAGATCCAACGGGCCGTCTGCCTTCCAGCATCCTATTATTCCCTTGAACTGCCGTCTCGGAATTCCCTCCCTGCCTCGGGCCGAAATCCACGGCCAGCATCATCAAACTGCGGGGAAGAAATTCCAAGGTCAAAAAGAACCTCAGCACGTTCAAGGCTTGATCGAGTCTGCCCTATTCCTTTCCCATTTGGTTCTGCTTGGGTTACAGCCTAAGGCCAGCGCAGCAGAAACACGAACCCCGAGGGGCTTCAACACGGCCTCTTCCAGAACATGACTCGGATTCTTGTACAAGGAAGGCCAAGAGAAGAGGTCGCCTTCATGGAGCTGAACGGCGCGTGGTGGATGGTAAAGCGGGAATCAGCCTTTCCGGCTTTGCGGGAGGCCAGGGCTTCATGGGCCTTCGGCCATCTGCCTTCATCAGTTCCTTGCCCGCGACGATGGCCTCCTGGCAGACTGTATGCCTGCATCAGTGCCACCCTCGTCTTATTAATCTATAACCTGGGCAAGGATTGCCGGATCCATGTCGAACGCGTGGAGGGAGCCCGATGGCGACATTGCCGCCAACATCGCGCGTGTGTGGCCGCCACGACCAAATGTGCCGTCCACGTAGACACCGCCTGGGACGTTCGCTGACAATCGGAAACTGCAAAAGCGACTCCTCCTACAGCAAACAGCAGTGTGAAGCCCAAATATGGACCAGTCAAGCAATCAAGAACAGGCAGAATGTCGTGATTCCGTTGCTGTGCTCTTCAGAAGGGTAGCTGCTACGCAGATGCTGAGACCAGCTGGTGACATGCACATCACACCTACCTCGCCAAACCCGCGCAGTATTCTGGACGGAATGCCTGGATTTGGTGCCACCAGCTTCTTCACCTCAGTCCGAACGAGGGTCCCAAGTAGCCCGAAACACGGCGTCGCAAGTCGCGAAAGACGATGCATGAGAACCCGACCACTTCCGCGCAAAGTGCTGGAGTGTGAGTTCCAGGAGCTTGCACGGACGGCCGGATGCCCGTGTGGAACCTTGGAGTGATCGAGCTGTCTGCTTACATACCATGTGAACATCGATGCACAGTTCAGCACAGACAAAGAGACGGAGAGCGACGTTCTACATGCTTGACATGCATTGCGATGCTGTGCTATACTATGCTATGGCATGATATGGAAAGATATGACATGACATGATCTGACCTACCGGCATACATATATGTATATACATGTCTACAACAAAACCCGGCTACAGAGATGCGACCTGCAGCTTAGCTGCTGCTTGCCGGCCTTGATCTCTAATTTGCGGCCCTGAAAGCTGGAGCCGGTCCAACCTCGCTGTCGAGAGGCAGCATCCGATTCCCCCGGCTCACAGCTTGCAGAAATTGCACTGACATTTCACTGACTGCTGGCACCACGGTCACAGGGTCGAATCATTCTAGACTCTAGACAGAAGATCCAAGCTTCAGGCTTATGGCGGTCTGAAAGGCGTCCTTGCTCGCGAAGGTAATCCAGGCAATGCCCTGTCGGACGGGCACTGCCAGATGGTCAACCTGCTTTGGTTCGATTTCTCCGCAGAGCCTTGCAGTTGCCAGTCTTGCTGTCGAGCATTATGCGAGGCTCGCCCACCTCAGGCTCGGGACGTCATGAAAGCCTCGAAGCTACTTGCATCCAGGCCGCTATTTCGCCAGCCTGCAGGCCAGACTTTCCCCAGAGTACACTGTGGGAGTTCAGGCAGTTTCCAGACTTCCCCTGACCTCGCCGAAAAACTCCTTCAAGGATGCAGCGCTGGCCGAAGGAGGCAAGAACTTGATGAAAATCTCGAAGCCCTCAACCTGGCCAGGCACTTTGTTCGGAAATGGGGCATTGCGTAAGTGGAGAGTTCTGTTATGTTCCGTTCCAATCTGGAATTTGCTGAGGATCACGCCTGCCCAGCCGCATTTTTTGCGAGGCCGAGCGTGTGCGCCATGTTAGCGGCAGAAAAGGGGCTCGATTGCGCAAGGCAAGGCGTCGTGTCTAGATAGTGGGCTGAGGCTTCGCGGAAGCAAGAAGATTTCAGTGTCGACACCCAAGTCAGAAGTTGGGGATGTTGCATGTCGCATCATGCAGCTTATAGGGTCAGCTCAAGTCTAAACGAGCTGCACCGAAGGAAGCGGAGCAGAAGCATCTCGCAAAAGTGCGAGAACAACATTTCAAGCTGCGCTTAGCTTTCGATCAATCAGGCACAGGTCAAGCCGGCAAAAACGGACGAACACTTTGCAAGTGCTAAGTGCGTGCACCAAGCGCCCATACAGCAGTCCAACGTCTGTTAGCCCGTCCAATCCTCGTCTCATGGAGAAGTGTGAGGTGAAAGCCAGTCATGGCAGGCTGATCCAAGGCAGTGGCCCAATTCGCCAACTCGCGATTGCGAGCTCCAACCCGTAGTGTGTCGTGCCATGTCATCCAGGCATCGCAGCAGCGGCTGAAAGGTGCCTCGGCCGAAGAACCTCAGTCAGCTGACGGTTCGGTCGGCCGGAGGCTACAAGGCACGTCCCGGCCTTGCAATGCTGTCCTTGCATAGGGATGCTGTATTTAGCCTTGGCCGTGCCAAAGCTCCTTCTTCGCTCAGCCGAGTGCGCACTTGAGGATGACGCAATGCAGTCGCCACTGGAGCCAAATCTGCTGCCAGGGAAGGGATCCCGGAGCCGGCCGCCTAACAGAAGCGGCTAAGCTCGTTGAAAAGTATGATGAAGCCAAGTTTCAGGCCTTTGCGGCGTGCCAAGACTTAGACGATCTGTCCATCCAGCTGAGCGACCTGGGTTCATCTTTGAGGGCTTGAGGGTGCCCGTTCCTTCGGCGATTGCTTCCGGTCCACCTGTGCGCGACCTGGCTTCTTTCGCAGGCCGTTGACGCCAGGAACAGGCCGATGCTCCTGGAGGCATTGAAGGAGGCCTAGGCTTGCCGGCGGCCCGGCTTGCGGCGGCCGTCTTGTCCGCAACATTACCATTGAAATTGGTATCGAATGAAGACAGCCAAGATTCCAAGTCCGAGGGCTCCAGGCTGTCTGGGCAGTCAGTGTCGAGGGAGAGCAACAGGCATGCCTGGCCGCAGAATTGGCTGCGTCATACCCACTCACCAATCAGTGGCACTGCTCCCGGGGCTCTCCTTTCGCCATGCCAGGCTCCGGCCACAAGAGGCTGCAGTAGCGTTTGCAGCACGGAAGGTGGTCAGTGGGATACCCGAGTGACCAGCGAATTCCTGACAGAGCGATTCCCGAGACACGAATCCTTGACATACTGTCTGCCCAGCAGGAAAGCTGCACTATCGAGGAAAGAAAGTCAAGGCACTTACATGCGACTGATTCATGACAGTGACAACTGTCGGCTTCCGAGTGTAGGTCCTGCCTTCCGCATCTGTGGCAGCAGTTCAAGCGCCTTACACTGCCGGCTGCTATCATGAATCAGCATGCAGAACAGCTCTGGCTGCCTGCTCCCAGCGACGGGCTTCGGCAAAGACGCTCACTGCTCCATGCAGGGCAACCAGAAATGGTTGGCTGACCTCCCAGACCCGTCTTGTAGCAGCTTCTTCTCTCTCTTCGCGTGCAGAACGGAACCCTGTGTTGTGTGGCCTCTTGACTCAGGCTCGCGAGGTGCTGGGCGAAGGCGAGGTGCTCCAAAGCATGCTCCCAATGAGCCTCAACAAAGCCCCGAATGACTCCCATAGTCGCAAGAGCACGGGTGTGAACAGCAAACGAGTAGAGGCCCAAGCGCCATGTGCACACGCACCCAGCGCAGCAGAACAAGCCTCATGAAATCTCGGCTCTCCCTACTGCCGATCGCAGCCACGCATGTGCAGATGAATTAGATGTCCAAGGGGCAACCAGCAAGCCAGAGGCATTGGCCGGCAACATCTCGGCCTGTGTCCCGGAAGTCGTATAGTGGGCAGGCGGCAGCTGGTTTGGACGGTCCTTGTTCAAGTTTCTGAGGATCTCCAGGCTTTCCAGCCAGGCGGCGCCTCGCACGAGCTGCCTCCGTCCTTCTGTCGCTGTCCGCGTTTCGCTCAGCCCAGCGCACCTTTCTGACATGCGGCCAACGCAGCACCGTAGGCAGTAATGTCCAGTGCCAGCCTGAATGCTAATGAACTGGCGAGTTCAAGAACAGTGCCCACCAAACAGCATGCTGACCCCTGGAAGCCTCATCTCCACTGCATCGCTGAAGTGCTGGAGAGCCCTGTCCTTCCCATGGGCGGAACGAACAAAGGTGCCATGTTGCAAGGGTATTCAGAGCTGAGCCAAGGATCCCAACGTGATCCGCGAAAGGCTTCGGTCATTGCATTCGTGAAACCTGTGAGAGAGAACGTCTTCAACACTGACTCAGCTGGAAAGGTCGTGAGTCCTGAAATGAGCAGCCGATCATGAGGCTCAGTCCGATGGTAAGAGTCTTTGGATTCTGGCCAGGAGCTTGGCACATTTCAGCCTGCACAGCAGTGACCCAGCATGGCAACGAGAACACGATACTGTCATGTGGCCCCCCCGGCCAGGAGGCTGCTAGAGAGCACGGGGTGTCCAGCTCTTTCACAGGCACCGGCCTGACTCACATGCGTACACCAAAAACTTGGGCACCGCAGGCGCAGGACAAAGCATTCATGATACTAAGCCTCCAAGAGTGAGAAGTCGCTATGATGCTGCCGTTTCGGAAACGTTGTTGCTACTTGCTCTGCAGGTTGCTGGTGGAAGCTGATTGGTGTGTGACTGCTGTGGCTGTGCACGCGCCTGTTGTTTACCCTGCGCTGCATGCTCGCCCATGCTTTTCACGAAGAGGCTCAACATGTTGAATGCGTTCTTGGGTTCTATCAACCAGATTGAAAGGCGCAGGCCAGCAGTGATAGTTTCTGCCCAACAGAGCCCATTTCTCTTGTTGATTGATACAGGTGGTATCTTGACGGACATGCCAGCTCAGAGCGAAGATTTTGCACCTTGCATGACGGGAATGCAGTTATGTTGCAGGCCCGCTTGCGCTCGCTATCACTTTGGAGTGTATGAACTACATTCATCCGCTCATTTCAAGAACTGCATGCAGACCCGTCAAGCAAGGCAGGACGCATACTTTTGACATCCAAGACCTTTTCTTTGCCCCTTCTGTCTATCTATGCATGCTGACACGACAGGGCTAGCACCAGCAACAGAAGCAGCAACTCTCAAGATTCTTCGAGTCTCCAGCCGCCACCCCGAAGCACGCCGCATCCGGGCTCAGTTGTCGTTCGGGCCTTGACATAGCAAAATCATGCCGCAAGCCAGGCAGAACCGTGAAGCTCTTGCTGAGGACAACGCATGCGCCAGAGGAGTTCGAGCACCCGCTGCCACTGTCGGCCTGCGGCACCTGTCGCTCGAAACTCGATGGCATCTCCTCACTCTGCACAGGATCTCAGCCGAGTCGAGGACATGCGGACATTGCGGCCCCAAAGTGAGGCAAAGATGCTCGTAGTTGCTGGAGCTCCATGTCTGCCGATGGCAGCCATTCTCGTCTCTCATTTCTGAAGATCCTCTGTGCGTTACGTTGCGCCTGCCAGCTGCGCTAAAGCTGAGCTCCATCGGCCACCTCGGCCAGCAGCTTGTATGGCAGCAGCACCTGATATGTACGGCAATACCTCAAAACATAAAAGCCCCTGCTTTCGCCCTTTCACTTTATTAAAATCGGTCTTACGGCGCGTTGGCCAGCTAGCGGCTTGATTAGTTCATGCATCTCTCTGTTTCTTTATAGTTCACTGAGCCACAGTGCTCTCTCTTAGTTCCGCTCGCTTTCCTTTCCCTTTTTTTCGGCATTATGATCATTAGTGATTAGTAATCAAGGCACTGAAAGGACGCACGAATTAAGCAAAAAACGGCTCCAGTTTGGTTCAGGTTGGCGACAAGTTGCAGGCGGCCGCGAAGCATTTACAAATTAACGGACTCAACCTGCGAGCTTCGAACTGACTGCAGCTTCCCAGGAGCCTGCTTTGCAGGCCCGAAATCGTGGCCGCGCATCCTGCAAGAAGGCTTTGGTCCCACTTCCGACTCTGCTTACAAACGGACAGTCAATCAACAACGCAGGAGCCCTTCAGGCCAACTTCAGGCCCCTTCAGGACTTCAGGCAACTGGGCACATTCCGACTCCTGAGATGCAGCTGACCTCTTGACAGAGCGCAGGGCCCGAGCAAGGAGAGCAGCTCTCCCCGTCCGCTGTGCCATCCGACAGACTCGTGGGTGTTTGCTGTGGATATGTCTGCCCAGATTGTGCCGACTGCTCTTGCTACTGTGTGATGAGGTACAACAACCGGATCAGAAAGCCAATTCTTAAGCTTGCAGAAATGTCGCAGAGTATTCTCCTTTCCGGCGAACTTTCCGGTAGCACCCTGCCCTGCAGATCTCGCACTGAAATCCTAAAAGCATCCTTCTGCGCGCCCGTTTTGGGAGCGATCCAGCACGAAGCCGCATCCGAACCTCTGCTTGAGCTCCCTCATAACATAGCTAGAAAGTGCCATTGGAAGAGGCCCTAAAGGCGTCTGGCACCAGCGCAGATTCTCAGGCTCGAGCGAGCAATCAGGCCTGTTGCCGCAGATGGTTCTGCACAGGTTACAAGTTGAAGTCCTTTAGCGCCCTTATCAAACGCTTTGCCTGATCAAGTGCGCGCAAGATGTGTTAGCGAAAAGCGATGGCCAGCAATGTGGCAGGATCTGTTTAGATCTTCATCTCGTCGGCAAGCTGGGCTCTGTTGGACAAAAACCAAATTGTCACACATCCTTCACCGGCTAGATCACCACCGAGCTCAGCTTAGTCTCGCGAGCATGCGCGAGAGTACATTATCAATCTACCAGGAGTTCGGAGTCCTTCTTCCAGGCTGCTTGACAGCCGGCCTCTAGACTTTTCGACTCCCTGAGGCATTCGCCGTCTCGTTCTAAGGGACGTCACTGACGCCTTGCTCTTCCAGGAAGGCCTTCACTGCCTCAGACAAGCACTTTCTCAAAGCGTTGTCCCCGCGTGCCGCGGGAGCTGGTGAGGGCCGGACGAGACAAGCGTTGCGCTGGGCGAACTTCTTGCCTTGGAATCCGGCAAAGCAAGCAAGGGATTTGACCTGGAGCCCTGAACTCCCGAAGAGCCCCTGCAGAAGGCGTGGGCCTCGGCACCAATCGCCCTGGAAGGTCCGGCCAATGGCAGGCACCTGTCAAAGGTGCGACGCATTTGAAACCGGGCGCCAAAGCCAGTTTGGCGTCCTTCCACATACTTGTCTGAACTATTGTCGTTCTCCTTCGCTTCCGGATGCTGGCAACCTACTACCCACAAGAACATCTGCTGTTGTCACGTCGCTGCAGAGAAGCAGTTTTCGTCCAGTTGGAACATGCAGACGGGCATGTTCTCGAATTTGGTAGTTCGAGACGGTGCGGCAAATCGACTCTCAATAACCAAGCCAAGGCTCAGACAAGTGCAAATGCAGTGGTGGAAAGAAATTGAACACATCATTAAGCTTCGTGACTGGCGACGACCAAACAAGCGCCTTAAACGAAATCCGTTGTCAGAAACCTGTAACCCGAAGTTGCATGCCGAGGGCCCTACAATATTGGCGAACTTTGCAAGCATTGTTCCGAAACGCATCTCCGTCGCACCGTCGGAACGTAAAGCCTATTAGTAGCTTATGGCCTATGGCGGCTACCGAAGCACACAATTGTCTCATGTTCCAGATGCCTGGCAGTTGCTCTTCTAATACACTTAGTCTTCCTTGGATAGCGTCTTATGCTTTCCCTCGTCGGAAGCCTGTGCAAAGGCACGGAAGACTTGCGGATCAGCTGGTGATGGTTCGTACGTCCACACCTCGGCAGCATGCATCGTCATGACTGCGCACGTGCCAATCAAGCACCTGCAAGCTATGCGGGAATGGTAAAGACTCGAAGCGTTAGTAGACGGAAGCTTTGTTCGATCAACTGAGCTCCAATCCCAAACCTTTTCCCCAGCGGCGGTGTCCTTCTTGCATGGGCTAGACGGGCAAACATCCCTCGGAACACCACATTATGGGAGCTGCCCTTGGCTTTCTCACGGGAATTCACGGGAGCATCGGGCGCAACTCATATGCCATGGTCTCCTTGGAGAAGGTTTTCTGCAGCATGTTCTGAACCTGCGAGGATTTCCAGACCGTGTCTCTTCCCAGTGCCAAGTGCATGCGTGATCTGAGTCGAAAGCTCAGGCACCTGAGACACTGAGCCGTGCGCTTGCATCAATATCGTCTTGTCCTCCACTGGATGCCGAGGCTCACTTCCCACAGATTCCTCGGCTGGCGCAGCATCCGGTAGTAGTACAGGAAGGTGCTATGGCAGCTTGAGGGTGCTTTCATGATGCCCCATGACAAGCATGTGCTTACTTGCTCCATCCTGAGTCCTCCACACCTGGGCTCGTGCCGACCTCCTCAAAAGGCAAACGGGTCACGCCTGTCCGTGCCTGAAGCCTTAGAGCGCTCGCCTTCGGTGACAACAGCTGCGGCGGCAGTGGTTCCGCTGCTTGCGCTGTGGTGCTGAGGGATGCACCCTGGAAGCCCTCAGCATCCGAGGATGCACGACAAGCTTGTCTCCCAGCACTTTCTACAGGAATTCTTCGAACTGCACAGGCACTTTTCACAATTGTATGTGGAAGCGGAAGCTGATACACCCTCCGACACTCAGCTGCTGGCTGTGCCCAGTCCGAAATACCAAAGCACGCGCTGTGCGGCGTCGGACACGGCATCAGACACGGAAGCGCACCAGGCACCCGCAAACTGATGCCTGCCAAGCAGGGTGGTCTACTTCTGTGGCTGTGCAGGATAGCCGATCCAGGATAGCCCACACGAGCCAACAACCAGGCGAGGAGAACGGCACTCCGTTCAGCTTGAAGCAAAGAACCATGCGGAACTCCTCCCCAGTTCAAGGCATTGAATGCTTGCATGGATAATGTCGCTTCGAGGTGAGATAATGTTGAAAAGGCTGGCCACGGTAACGTTGCCAACCAGTGGATAGCGGCTTGTCAGCTTCCCAGCCGCGCCTGTCCCACTGCTGACAGGCGGTCCTGCCACATCAGCGACGGAAAACATCATTGAAAACCAACCGTCTAGCGGGCGATGCAGTGCGTCACAGGTCCTCCACCTCACCCTCCACATGTTCTCCCTGCCACGACCTGTTGTGTGCAGCCGGGCACGGTACGCTCTGATTCTACAACCTTGCGCCTGCTAGTCTGCATCGTGTCTCGCATTTGGCAAAGCTCCTGGAAGAGTGTACCAATTGTGGGCCAGATCCCTGCCGCCCGTCCCCAACCATAGGCGACCCAGCCCTGACATGACCCGTCCATGCTCCTGCTTTACCAGCTCCTTAGAGCTCTGTCAAAACATTCTTCAATAGAATCGGGAGAGTGCATAGTCGAGGCGAGATTCATCCAACGTCAAGGCTGGCCCTTGCGGAGCTTGGAGGCCTCTGTCGCATGCCCATGGTACATGACAGCTGACATGCTGCTGGTGTTGCAAAAACAACTGCTGTGCCTGACTGGCTGTCGTTTCTGGACATGTAGCGACGAACCCGCTCAGCCTTGGCAGCAGGCTCCGAGCAGGAGCAGGAGCAGGGCCGTCGTGCGCATGCACATGGTCTGCACCAGCTTTTCACTCTGGCTCGGGAATCTGTGCAGCGTGTGCACGCTGCGAGGCGAGGAATTTGCTTGTTAGCAAATGCGTGGCTTCTCTGCCGTCGCTCGAGGTCGCCTCTGCGAGAGGAAAGTTGGCATGTGACAAGGTGCAGGTCGACACTTCGAGAGACTGTCCTCCCCGTTCATCCGCAGAAGTTGTTGGAGCATCTCCTTCATCCCCTGGCACAAGCTCAAGTTTCGCAGACTCCGCCTCGGCCAAACCCGAGTTCGACAGCAGGGATTCCTCGTTCACGCAAAGATCATGCAAGGCACTCCTGAGCTTCGCATCTTCGCACTCTGTGATGCCACAGAAAGTTTGCAACCTGCTCTCTCCAAGGTTCAGCGAGTCTGGCTGGTCTCGTCGCACGAAGAAGAGCTTCTCCCTCGTCTTCTGGGGCAACACAGGTAGAATGGCCTTCAGCAAAGGTGGATCTTCGGCTAGCTGCAGACGACCCTTCCAAGATCTTCCAAGCCACTTTCATCAGAACCGACATCACAGTCGGCACATCCAAAAGAACTATCCGGTGAAACCTGGGCTTTGTCAGATCCGAAAGGGAATCAAAGAGTCTTCTCGTGCCAGCGTGGACCAAAACCAGCCGCAGTGACCGTTCTGCGAAATACGAGTTCAGGCTGCCTGCGACGTTGAGGTACGGCATAAAGTTCAAGTTGAGAAGTGGCTGGTAGCCGTGGGCATCCAGCACGTAGTCCATTCTTAGTCGCGAGTTTCCACGGGACTATAGCAGCATGAGGAGCAGCAAGCGCAGTAGTCCATAGTAATCAGTTGTCGCGCATGGTGGATCGCACCCGCTCCCGGAAGGGAGAGCATCATTGCTTTTCTGTTTTGCAGGGAGGTGGGGCAGGGACTGCCATCGGGTAGTCTGAGGAATCACAGCACGACGACTACGGACATGATGGCAAACAGGACGACCACGACGACGAGCAGAAACATGTAGCAGTAGTAGTAGCAGCAGAAGCACCGGTAGGGACTTGTGTAGGTCAGGATTTCCGGGGCTGAAGTGGGGGGGAATAATAACAGTCGGTGTGAGGGAGCGAAAGGACGGGGAAGCGAGATTGAATTTCTTAGTTCTCTTGGAAAAAGAACAAGGTGTTTTCTTGCACATCCCCCCTTTTCCGGGATTAGTACGATGTCAAAACGGTCGGGGAAGAAGGGGAGGGAAGAGACAGCCCCCCTCCCCCGAGTATTATAGCTGCGCAATTACTCTTGTTATTTCTGCTTAGTTCTCCTGCTGGAAGAAACGAAAATTAATCATGATGCTGCGCCAGAGCTGGGTTACCGAGAAAAACAAAGGCCCGCGGGAGGCTGCCCATTATTTGTTCGCCTGGTTCCTGTGCAGAGATGCCAGATGAACCGAGCTGCTGCGCGGTGGGCCCGGCCTCCTCCAGTGCCTTCAAGCCGCCAGGACAACCAAAATAAATGGAGAATGCAGTGGCTAACACTTAAAGCGGGAACCTTGTGCCAGACACATGCCAAGATGACTCCGGCGACTTCACCACGGCGCTGGTTCACGCAGCCCGAGTAAACTAAAGGCCTGTGAAAGGTCAAGCTCGGAGCATTTCCGCTATCAACTTCTGATGCAAAGCTGCAAGCGGATGCGTGTCTATCTGTATGCGCCGTCACGTCCACAGGCAGTTCTTGAAAATCACTGTAAAGCTGTTAGACCTTCCTTGACGAAGTCTTCTAACACACAGAACAGGGTACAGACCGTAGCACACGGCGGACCAGAGTACTGAAAGTGAAGCAATACACAATGCCCCGCACTGCTGTGAAGAATGGGAACGATGGGCCTCGACTCTTGGCCGATTGCAATGACCCGAGTTTCTGCGGTTGGCAAGCTCTCAGCTTGTGACTGCAACCAACCATCCAAAGTGTCCCGCCTGCACTCACAGGGCGGATCAGGGGGTGAGACTTTGCAGCCCCTCCGCAGCCAAGCAGCTTCCAAAGAACTGAGTCTTTGAGCTTCTTGACAGCCAATTCTTCGTCACCTGCAGGTCACGCATTTCAACATACGAGTAGCATGTTCTCTCATGCCATCGCGTATCGAGCCTTCAGTGGCTCGAAGCATCCTCTCTACATGGCCAATGCTGATCCAGCTTGCCGATCCGTCTGGAAAATCCTGTACGACTTCGGTAACCACGGCATCCAGATCGCTTCCCTAGGCCAGAAGCAAGGAGAGACGAACTGACCAAATTCATCGCTTCTGTTGCCGCTCTGGTGCTGAAGGCGTCGAGTCCTCACTGCGGAGGCCCGATGGCGGCTCTTCCTTCTCCATCTGAGGGATTGACAGCGGCTTCATGCGGCTTATGTCTTCGTGAAAACAATGACCTCTGAAACAGTGGAGAGCCTCCGGTTGCAGAGGTGAAGGCAAGCAGCTTCTGAGCCAAACACCCAGAAAGCAGGAGCAACTGGAGCTGGACAGCTGCACGAGTGCTAGCGCGGCAAGCAAGCTTCATGATGCAGACTATGACTGTGACTTCGTGGCTGTTCAGCTCGGCTTTCAATCACAAGCGGCTCCCGCAAGACAACAACATCCCAATGCCGTACTCTCAAATGCTACGGCACCTGCGCCGTGCTGTCGACTGAGCCACCGGCGGTGTCCCTCTGTGCCTCAACGAAATGTGCAGTGGTGCACGCTCCTAAGGTTGCCAGCGTCGGTGCAGTGCGGAGCCTTCTTCTTGGAGGTTTGCCAACTGCCACGAAAGAAGTGCGGCACCTCTGTATCGAGTCATGGTCAAGAGTTGCCACGTCGGCCGCACGACACGAACCATCCGCCTCCTTGAAGATGAAAGACACAACGGCACGGAATCTGAGCCAAGAGTCATTGCCCACTCTGTTACCGTGCCGCCGCACAGTGTCTTGCTACAAGACCAAACGGGGCTCGTACTGAAGTAGCGAATCCTCCTGTATGCGGTTCTCGAAATTCCACCTCATTGCTGCGAACCTCTGCTACGGTCCCACGAAAGAAGGCGTGGAGCGACCAAGAACGTCTCTAGACTGGGCTCGTCACATCAGTATCCGTGCATGCGGAGGAAAGTCAGAACAGCTTTGGACGTACTCCTTGCAGTGCGGCGCAACTGTGCTGAAGTGGGAAAGGTTCAGAACCGCGTGGCCTGCAGGATCGACACTGCATTGTGCATTCCATCTCCAACGACATCCTGACCTCCACACACTTTCTTCGCTTTCTGCAGACAGAAACCCACAAGACCTACACAGCCACAACTCCAAAAACAAATTCACCGGCTGTCTGAAATCCCGAGTCATGTCGCCTTGCATGGATCCTGCAGGCCTTCCACACTACATCTACTACATTCTTGACAAAACACTGCGGCGAAGGCCAACATCCGCCATGAACACCCGGAAGTGTGCGTTCCCGGGCACGTGGCTTCTGCCCATCGGCCCGATGCGTACGCAAGCATGCACCGGCACAAAGCACAACTCTTGCACCGCAGGGACAGCTTTACTGAGTCTTGTGCTCATGTGTTTGATGTGTTTGAAGCTTGTAGTTGGCTGTCCACCTCAACGATCGTAGCGTAGTCCACGGAATCATGGAGTCCTGCGTCTCCCTCTCCGATGCCACCATATGGTGCGTTGCTCGCAAGCTGTTGTACACCATGCACTATCGCAGATATAGCGCACTGCTCTGCATGCATGCCATTCTTGCAGTGGCTTGGTGCATTCGCTGCAGGCTCTGCCCAAAGACCAATATTTCGCCTGCATCGGCATCAGCAACAGTATAGGATAGTATAGGACACAGACTGAATCCTGTCCGGCACGAATCCGAAGCTACGGCTCTGACCCAAAATCCTATCTAATCACTTTCACTGAAAACCCACATCCAAGGCATCGATTTCGTCATCGCCTTGCGCAATGTCGGAATCTCTTCTGCCATGGCCACCCTGGCAAGGATGGCGGCAGGTTCGGGACCATGTCAAAGGTGGAATCCTGACCACTGGCCAAATAGCGGACGAACCGCAAGCTGACAGGCAACGTGCTCGACAAGTACCTGCGTCACCGCGATAGCTGGTTGCCTTTTAGTCTTGCTTACGGCGATAACGAATCCCAACCCACGTAGTGAGCCTTACAGTCGAGTTTGAGATACTTCGTGCAGCTTCCGCAGCTGTGAACGCAGGGTCTTTCGCGAGGAGCAAAGCCAAAGCACTTGAGATTGACTAAACATCAGCAAATTGAGCCCCAAGGTTTAAGTCTGGGGAAGCCAACATGCAGTGGGTTCGGATTTGCAACCTCGCGATCCTGATGTTGCTTCACTGGTGCCTGCATTGGCCTGTGGTCAACCACCATGGACGTGGACAGCCCGCAGTGATCGTGTACCTCGCCTGATGCCCATCCACACCTGCCGGACTCTTACTAGTAAAATGGAGAAGTGAGAGGCTTCGGCGTGGAATTGCTCGAACCGTGCCTACCATATTGTCCAAGGCGGCGTAGTTTGCCAGGACCCCACCGAGTGAATGACCCGTGTAATACATCTCTTTAGGATCACAATCTCCGCTTTGGTACGCATCGTGAACCGCCTTCTTTAGGCCTTGCTCCAGCAATCGATAGCCGCGCAGCCACGAGCTGGCGACTAGGATCTTGTGCTTCGAAAAGGATTCCTTCGCGTTGATGGAGTCGAAGTTGGCCTGCCATCCTCGCTTGTTGGCCGTCCCACGAAAGGCAACCCAGCACTTGCCGGCGAACTGGCCATCCTCGCTACGTATCAGCCTCGCCAACATGAATTCCGCGCCATCCGTATCCGGGCCGGGCACTTCTTTCAGGATGCGGCCGCACTGACTGGGCTCCGATGCGCTTTCGTAAGTGGAGGCCGCACACTGCAGGCCCCGGACGGACAGTGCCCACTCTTGAGGAGACAACTGCTTCAAATCATCCGTGGGCCCGCGGGGAATCGACACTGATGCGTTGCCCTTGGCCTTCAGCTGTAGCAAGGGGCACTCCTCCGGCTCAAGCTCGCTGTTCGCCAGCAGCACCAGAAAAGGGAGCACAGCCAGGTTGCGGGCCATTGCTCCGCGGGGCGCTGTGTGAGCCTGAACCACTCATGGACAGCTGAAGCCTGTTCCAAGCACAAGCCGAACCATTACATCGATGAGAATGATCATCCCACGCAAACTCTTTTTGTCACAATGCTCGCGTCGTCAAGCTCAGGAAGGTTGACTCCAGGGACAAGTACTGCAGCCACCAAAACTACATATAGTTAAAAGTCGTTCATTATTTTCTCTTGTCATCGTCGTCCTCCTCCTCGAATCTGCGGAGTACTTCCTGCGACACTTGAAAGCCAAGGTTGATCAACAAAGCCAGTGTACAATAAGCAAGCAGCACGCACTCTAAGCCATGCAAGTCGTACGTCCACGAACATTAAACGCACAGCTTTAGCCTGCAAGCGGAGCCTTTTCTCGGCTTCTTGCTGAGTCCGAGGTGAAACTGACGTCACTGAGCCTCCGAGGTAGCCGCCAGGGCCGCGGGCCAAGCAGTCGAAGCTTGCGGGCCTCGAAGGAGGCTCTGCTCGTCCGCTCGTTCGCCTCCGGTGTCCCTTCCTATGAGGCGAGCGCGTGATGGGCGCCAGCTTCAGAGAGGGCATCGGGACCTTGGTCGACAAAAAAGCCTGACCATGCCTCACCACGGCATCCACGGACACCGAACAGCGGGTCCCAGCACTGCGACGTCCCTCGCTAGGCGACGTGCCCAGCTGGCTGTTGCGGCGGTGGGATCCTTGAGAGGGCGGACTCTCTCTTAGCATTTTTCTGCTAGGGTCCAGTGAATATGAAAGGGGGTTTCCGCTGTGTGGAGATGGGGGCAGCTTTTGCAGCCTGCTCAGTCTAAGTGTTGTACTTGTAGTTGTGCTCAGGAAACAGTGCTTCCAACCCCAACCGGTTGGCTTCGCCATCTGCGGGTTTGTTCCGAACCTCATTTTCTTGTGTGTAGAAGTTGGGCCTCAGACCATGCTTGCAACGGAAGGTTTTCTCAAGGAAAACAAGGAAAAGCTCGGGAAAACCTGAGCTTCGAGGCATCAAAAATGACTCGCCTCGGCTCTGGCCGAATCGGTCAGAGGTTTCCACAGAGACCCTCTACCATGCTGTGCTGTTAGCCTCTCCTTTGTGCGGGCGGTGTGCAAATCGCACCCGGGCTGAGGCGGACAGCACGAGGTGCTTATAATGAAGGGGGATGCCAAGAACTTTGTCATGGGGCCTCCACGTCTGCAGTCAACCGAGCAGCGACGGCATCGTCGCGACCGGCGCCGTGCAACTCGGGGAGCAAATGAGAGACCCGTCAGACGGCCTGGGGATGCCTGGGGCACTGCGGCACCGAGTCCCATGCCAAGGAGTCGATCACCCAGGAGGCCCGATCCCTTGAGCGAAAAATGTGCCACACCTCAACAAGAACTTCCACTCCGATCCTCTTGACTCTTTCCGTTTCCGTTGTGCCTCCACTCTGCCTTCCCATGGCTGCTGGACCTGAGCCGGCACACATGCATCCAAATATCATTTCACGAGGACACTCTCGTGCTTGTCTATGCTACAATAGTTCATTCAAGGTCCTGCTTGAATCTAAGATCGCAGCCCAGCAAGGGGAGTCGTTGTGAGGCTCCTCGCGTAGGGCATAGACCTGTGAGCTGCGGAGAAGGAGCTTTGCAGTGCGCGAGTCTCCTTTGAATCTTTGCCACAGAGCAGGAAGTGAGTTTAGGGGTGCCTGGCCGGGTTCCAGTACTAACGGCACTCAACCTGTCTTGTCCGAGTTCGCGACGCCATTGATCCCGAGGTGGTCGCCATCCTTCCTCTTCATCATTCCGGACTGGCAGCACCGCGGCAGCGCGACCGCCCCAGCCCGCCCGAGGGCGGTCCGGAACGCCGGAGGCCATGTAGTGCACTTTTGCGAGGCGTTCAAGTGAAGCTGGCAGTACCCGAGGCGATAGAGCTGGATACGCTGCTCGCGCGCAGCAGCCAGAGACCTGGCATCGATGCTGGGAATGGGAAACTCGCTCCTTTCATCTTTCGGCCTTTCCGACTCCTTTTTTCACTAAAGCCGATGCGAGCACTTGTGCAGGTGAGACAGACTGCTGCCTCCTCGCACATGAAACGGGTAGCAGAAAGCTCTGAATGTTTGCGAGCTGATCTGGGGGCTTCATTGCGAGGAAGCAGCCGATCTTCGAAGTCATCGGTGATGCGTCTCTCCTGCTCCTCCTTTGCGGTGTGGATCTGAAGTGTTTGGACCAGTGTTACCTCAGCACTCGAACGGTCCCTCCTGACCTGCAGCCTCAGCCTTCAGTCCGGACCAAGTTGCCGCGAAGGGTTCGGCTGGTCTCTGCTGAATAGCCTTAAGAAAGCAGTCCGCTGAATGTCTGCTACCGTTTCATGTCATGTCTCCAACCCGCGAACCACACCCTCCACCCTCCAGCCCTGTCGTTTGCAAGCAAGTGGCACAGCGCAAATCGAGGCGCCTTCCAGAACTCTTCATTCTCCGCTTTTGTGCTATTCCACTCCTCGGGGGTGCTTTGCCAAAAGGGACAGTTGCCCGAAGAACCGAGGCAAGGCCACATGACATGGTGGCCATGTCTTTTAGTTTTCTAAAAGTTACGTTGCTGTGATCCGCCGTCCGCTGGGCCTTTTCGGGGCTATGTTTGCCTGTATCAGATATATTTTCTCCCATTTCCAACTGCATCTTATATATCACGCTTGATATAGCCACACTGTCATAGAGGTGTAAGAATATGCTGCATGAAAGTCTTGCAAGATGTAGCAGCTGCTAATGCCGTTTACGATCTTCAAGTCATGAGAGATGCCTGGCTGCGTGCAGGCATTGACTATATCATACTGCTCGACTGGTGTGGTGAAATACTATTACGAGCGCTTAGTCGGGCATGATTATACGGATATCTTAGCTGTGCTCGCATATCTCCGTCTTTGTTTTGGGAGGATAGGGCTGTTGTACATATGTTTGCAGCAATCATGCTCAGCATGTCTGAAACTGAAACAGTCTTTGCCCGTCGGAACTTGGATCAACTGCAGGATTTTTCAGATATCATTCGCATGTGCAGCTTCAACCACCAAATCCGGATGTTTGATCTGGAGTCATGAACCCAGACGGCAGTTTCCTACCTCCCTTTACGCCCGCCTGCATTTCTCGCTGGATGCGCAGTTTGGCCTTGAAGTCCAAGTCATGACGTATTCACGTTCAGTGTTCTGACCTTGAAATCTCTCTTGTGCCGCCTGCACTGATCCGCGCTGTGGCTTCTCCTTGGCCTTTTCCTTGCCCATCATGGCCTGAATTGGATGATGCCATATGACTTTAACAGCAAACAGAGAGTCGTAGCCACACTTGTGCTCCGGAACCAGGCAGAACAACAGTTATGGCTTAAATAAACTCCAAGTCGCTAGAACCTCTTTCTCGGTCATGAGTCCTGCTGAGACACAGGGCACGTTGCCTGCTGCTTGACAGGACAGACGGCCCGCCTGAACTGCTTGATGCCTTGCGAGCTGCCTCCTCTTCCACGGGTACAGACCAGGACCGGGAGCGCTGCCTTATGCTGCACAACATGGAAAGACATGAAGGGCAAAGCCAGGGAGTCGTGCAGAGCCAAATGCCTCTTACGCGGATGCTTCTCCGACTCCTCAGACTTTTCCTCCTCCTTGGTATAGGTGACCAGAGTGGACCATCCATCCATTCTGAACGTCTCAAGGCGGGTTTGAGCAAGTCACATCATCCCCTCGTCTGCGCTTCTTTTTCTTCTTGTGGTGCTTCTGCTGGGCCTGCTCCTGCTAATACGGCTGCTGTTGGAACGGGCGGTCGATCACATCAGGTCTTGCCTGAGCCTTCTTCTTCTTTTTGTCCTCCTCCTCTCTTCGCCTTGGAACATTCTGCACATGCCTTGCTTCATGGATCAGCTCGCTTCGGACAAGGCTCCAATCTGTGTTGGGCGCAGCAGGCCGTGCAGGTGAATGCCGCGGCAGGCTCTGCCACTGTCCGCTTTGACTGAGAGGCTCTGGCTCCGCTGCCTGCTCCTCTTCTATGAAGACAGAAACACGTCCCGGCCCGATGCATACAAAGAGAGACGTCCCGGATGCGCCTGTGGTAGGGGTGCCGGGGCCCTTTCCCTCTCCGGTTCCGGAGCCTCGATTTGTGGCTCCGGCTCTGGCGGAGTTAGTCCGGCCTAAGGGGCTCAAGCATACTCGAGGACTCGGCAGCGCAGACGCTGGGCATGGGACCACCTTTTGCAGCGGATCCACCACCTCCTCGCGCGCCATCACCTCGCTTCATGGGTGGTCCCGGCTTGCGGTGCGGATCGCGTCAAGGCCGAGGAGCTGGTCCCAAAGGAGCAAGGCCGGCCCGCTTCTTCTGCTTCTTCTTCTTCATCTCCTGACCGGCAGATGCCGAAAGTCGGAATCAGGGTGAAGCCGAGGCGTCAGGGCTGTGGCCTCCAGCATCTCCTGCTCCAGCTGTTCCTCCTTCTCCTTTTGCTCTCGGAGCCGCGTCTCCAGGTCTCGAACCCTCAGCCAAGCTGCTAGCTTGCAACTGAATTCAACTGAGGCCTTCTGGGATCTTCTGGGTTCCCCGACCTTCGCATCTTTTCCACGACGTTGCCGCTGCCCTCTCAGAATCAAGGAACACTCTGAGGCTCTCCGGGAATTAGCATGCAACTCGCTTCGGCCACGTTGGGCTTCACATTCATTTGGAGAACGGAGATATGTGGGTCTCAAGTTCTGATTTGGCTCCGAAACCCAAAATGCCAGACAAGGCATAACCAGAACATGAGTGCCCAAGCCTCTGCGGCATCGTCTGCATCACGTTGGACGCGCTCATCTCGCACATTCCGATCCCGCAGCGAGCGCCTATCAGTCACAGACACACACATGCAACGTTCGTTGCTCTCAGATCCGATCTGTGAAACATGACCCAACTTGGTTCGAATGAATGGCAACTACCGCAAACATCGACAAGCATGCGGTTGGCAAGCCAGTGGGGCCAGCATGTGCACTATCTTCAGAACATGCGGGAAATTCCAAGGCATCAACGATAAATCCAATCAAGTGGCTGAGAGTGTCTCATGCGGTCCGCTTCGAAATCGGCCAAGGGTCCGATCCTGAGAGCGGCAGCTGAGTGTACAAGCTGGAGACACCAGTCGCATGAGATCTGCACCCGAACTTCTTGTACTTCAAGAAATTCCTGTCGGAGGACTGCAACCGTCTGCAAACTATCTTCACTGCCAAGCGAATTGTCTCTCTGAAAACTCTATGCAAATCCGAGTAGTTGGAGAATCGGCCAGATCTGGTGTGGCCTTATGCATTGGATGCTGACTTCTGCAACAAGGCAAGCATTATGTCATTATGTCCCTTGACATCGAGGCTTGATCTTCTTGGGCTTGAGTTGTGGTCTTGGGGCGGCTTGATGTCTCTGCAAGAAAGGCTGGTACGCGCTCTCTTGGTTCAGCACATCAACACATCTCTTGGTGTCACGTACTGGTAGTCAGCTAGTCTGGGTTGTGTGGTGGCGTTGAATCAACAAGTGTAGCTCTGTCATTGAGAAAGCTTTGCTGTTCCCATCTCCCGTCCTGGCGACAGGCTCGCTGCAGCCCATGTCGGTGCAAAGTCTCTCAACCACATCCTTGTTCCTGGCATCCCTGGCAGAGGAATTCAGGGTGCATTTGGTGCACATGTCGAGTGGAAGTGCCTCTCGTTGCGATTGAAGGTCACCAGGTCCCGACCTTGCCGTTTCCACGTCTCGGCCCCGATCCCAACACAACAACACACAGCAGGACACAGCACACGCAGCTCAGTGCTATCCCCGTCGCTCATCGCCCGCGGCCAGCACCTGCGGTGACGGCAGATCATCGAGGCAATCCATGGCAATCGCACAACACAGCCAGTCTGACAGGCGCCTGAAACGCCAGCGCGTGCAGTCGGAAGCGCCCAAGCGCCCCGGAGACCGGCGACAATGCCAAAGGCGCTTGTGGGCGGAAGGGGTGACTTTGCGTGGTTAGGGCTTCGGTTGTGGGAAGCTTCGGTTCTGATACATTGGTGCCGCTAGGCCCTGCTTTTGACCTTGAGTGAAACAACATCATCTAGAACCAGAACAATCTCTTGACGGAAGTGCAACAAGCTCTTCCAGAATTCTAGGTGAGGCAAGCTAATCCTCGGAAATAAATGTTTGCTAATCGTCGTCTGTGACTGTAAAGCTAGTTGAGGCCGTGTTGAATTTTAGCCAGTGGCTGCAGAGCATGGATGCCTGCTATTCTCAACCTTGCATTGTAGGGCCTTACAAGACCGGTTGTCGCAGCAAAGAGGATGCCTGAATGAGCTCTGGCACCAGTCCCGGCAAACCTCACATCAACAGGGTCTCCGAGCTGCCTTCCCAAGCTCATTGCCCATGTAAGAGGTGGTCATTCGCAGGGCCCCCCGAAGGCAAGCTATGGTCAAGTGGCTTGCTTTGACGGCACCGGGCTCGACCTCCGCCAAATCTACCTTCCGAGAAAGAGAGTGGGAAACTCAGAGGGCTGCATGCTGCGGCACGCCGTGTGATGCTTTCCGCCTCCAGCTCCAGGTCGCCGATAGGGCCTAAACCGATCCACAAGCCATTTCTTGGACCATCTCATCTTTGAATCTCGAGTGTCTGAGGTCGCCACCCTCTGCATCGGGTATGTCGGGTACCGGCGGGGCCTTTAGAGTGCGTGAGCTGTCGATTCATTTCAACGGCTTCACCTCGTCATTTCACACGCCTCCTCCACAGAAGCGCATCGCAGGAAGTAGCGCTGTTCAGTATCCATGGCATGGCCGCTGCGTGACTGCCAGTCCTCCCCTCTGCTGACATCCATCGGATGCAACAACTGCAAACCGTATGATGATGGTATCGGAAGATTGAAACTCTAGCCTGCGAAGCTTCTACGGTACTCGTACTACTTCGTGGGCCAGGCAGCTCGAGCCGCACAGGCAGTGCATGCGGAAGGCGAGGGTGATGCGAGCATCGTCAAGCCATCACATTCCAATAACCCTCGGGCTCCTTCTCAGGCGTGGACTTCAAAAGGTTCGCCTCGTCGCTTACTGGCTGGCTTCGGATGCTCATTTGTGCTATGCTCCTTTTTACTTTGGACGAACATTCCAGCATCTCTCATGTGTCGCTCTGGACCTCTCTGAGAAGAACACGTGCAACTACTGGTAGGACAACATCCGCTCAAGTTCGTTCGTTGGTCCCTCGGGGTGGTTGGTGCAGCGCTGCCGAATCGTGCTGCTGCTGCTGCGGCCCGAGTGATTGTGGCTGTCTCCCTTCCTGCCACGGCCAAAACACGTCTGCCTGGCTCCTCTTGCAGATCCTCCATGATCCTCCCACTGACCGGAAGTCTGCCAAATCGTGCGGAGTCACGCATGCTGGGGGAGTCACCGAAGCACTTGGCCCAGTTTCCGTGGTCCGCATGCCCTCGAGTCGCTTTGCGAAGTTCTATTCGCCGCTCGAAACGATTCTGCAGATCTGTGCTGAGCAATCCGTAATACAAACTTGGCTTTCTTGTCCACGTCAGGTTAGCAATCGGCTGTGGCTCCCGTGTGCACGATTTATGCTGTTACGTGTTCCTACCCGCCTGTGGAGCCTCTCCTCGGAGCGTCAACAGTCGTTGCAGCTGGGTGCAGACGTCGACACGCAAAGCACGGTCAAGCAGCGAAGACAAGTCCCGAGTAGCAGACCTTGAACTGGAGTTCAACTCCAGCCACCATGATTGCTACATATTGCTACCTTTCCTCTGATGAGTCAAAAATGCTTCGTTCACCGTCCAGCGGCTCTAGCTCCAAGCCACCATGCCCTGCAACAATTTAAATGATGGCGGAATGAAGCTCAGGCGAAGCAAGGACGTTTTAAGTCCTCTGCAGGAGGTTGAAAATTTGGAATATAGGGGACAGTGTGAGAGTCCACACAATCATCAACTATATATTTGAGACCTGGCTGATCAGAAGCATGCAGCAACTTTTCCAGAACTCATTACACTCGTTGCGAGTGGCGCCAAGACCTCTGTTTCCACGTCAATGTCAGAGCCAGACCGACTGAAAATCATGATGTCACAACTGCAACCTCTGTGCGGTTGAAACTCGTTGGCTACTCAGAGGTCAGTAGGTCAACTTGAACGTGTCGATCGCGATCTGATAGTCATCACCTGAGGATTTAATCTTCGAAGGCGCACCGAGGACCCACCGACGGAGACACAAGATGTTTGGGGCCGGGACCACGGATTGGCCACCTGAGGCGACTTCGGTCGGAGCGGGTTTGACTTGCACTTGCACGCCGGGCCTGGCCTATTCTCCTCAGATGCGATGGTCAACACGAACTGCTTTTTTCTGGCCACGACGACCGCAGCCTGCAGCAAAAGTTCCGAATCACAAGAAGAGTAGGCGCCAGAACATCCTTACAGCAATTTCACCCTGAGCCTTGCAGTGGAGTTGAAACTTTTTCCTGCGAAGCTGCCTTACACGAGTCTGCAAAATCATGCTCGAAAATTCTGCAGGGTGCTCCATCGCCACTCTGCCCTGCTGAACGGCATGCCTGGCCATGGCATCGTCAAACTTCCACTGGTACGCGTACCTATGCGAGGCCACTCTGACTCTGTCGATCAATGTGTGTTTGTTTCAGCCAAGGAGCTCAATGATATCGATGCGGTGTCCAATCTGGTCTTTCTTGGATGTTGCGGAGATGATCTCCTCACCACATGGGCGGATGGCCAAACCGGCATCCGAAAAGCAGCAAAAACCCTCCGGTCCTGCGGAGCTCCTTCGGGGACAACATCCTTCAACAGCTTCGCGGCCACCTGGCGTAAGAGACTTGTCTGCGAAGCTGATGAGCGGGGGGCCTTCCATATGCATACAAAGACGGAGTTCTACCTCTCTTGGTTTCTAGTTTTCTGCAACGCTTTAAAGAGAGAGATCTGCTGCCACACTTTGGTGCCAGGCAGGAGGAGTGCCGAGTATAAACACCCAAGAAGTTCTACCGCCACTGCGGACTTTACCGCCAGGTGAGAGGTGGCACGATTTGCCCACCCTGTGTTCGGATGCCCCTCATCAGCTGCAAAGGCTCCGATTGCCTAGGAGGAAAGCAGGAATCTGAATAGACCGACAGCAAACGCTCAATTGAGCTGCCGCCGGCAACGGTCATCAAGACTGAAACCTTTCAGGATCCTTCAGGACAAGCGTGTACTTTGGGCACGGGCAGCTTCCAGATAAATGTGCGTCCTGTGCGAGTTTTCTGAAGTGCTGTTGGCTGAATGCACCACCTGCACCCTCTTGTCACTTCCCGTCCTGGGGGAAACGATGCCAGGTCGCCAGGCAGGAGAGTCACTGCCTCACCACCCTGGCCAAATCAAGTCTTCAATTGTGCGGTTCCCGGTTTGCCCATGGCCCCACGGGCGGCCTCCGGGGTCACGGTGGCTGATCCAGACAAGATATAGACCTCGAAGACCCCCCACGGTCGGTTCTGCTCTCCGTTTTCGCGACTTGCCAAGTCGAGGCACTGTCTCGGGGTCGGCGTAGGTCACCTTGTGAGTGGCAAGTCGCGAGTGCCTCGCTCTAGCTCTCGCTCGGGGTTAGACAGTGCGACTCTCTCTTTTCTCTCAATCTCTCTCTCTCTCTCAATCTCTC